GTTTTTATGGTTACGTGGCAATGCTTATTGAGTTCTGCTGATTCCTGCTTGAAAAAAGTTCAATGTCAATATAGGACTCGCTTATAGAAGTTATGTGCTTAGATAATATCAATGCAGTTCTGAATGTGCAATGGTAGAAATGAAGTTTCAGCCTCCAGGAACGGCTGCCTCGGGCCTTGGCTAGGGTGGGACATCAATTTTTTTTTTAGCATTCCAAAATGCGTAGTGCTCAAGCTCATATGTGCAAAAATTGCAATTTTTACTTTCAAAATTTACAACTGTGACCGGCAAAACTCCGGAATCTGAATTTATACATTGGCTTGGCATTATTACAATGGCTTCATTGGTAATGAGCGGGATGTTTACGTGGGCATAACATTAAGGTCACTATCAGCAGTGAGTGTCTGCTATAGTACGTGTCAAGCGACGTGTCTAACGCTCGGAACTCTAGTGTAATGTAAGCATTTCTGAACTGCGTGATATTAGAAAAAGGACATTGAAAAAGCAGACACATATCGTAAGACTGCAAATCCGTTTTAAGGTTTCTACCGTGTTGGCCTTCTGCTTACTCTAAGCAGTTTGAAAGTCTTTACTAGAATGCACAAACTAGCCGCTTGAATTGTTCTAATGCAACCTGTTTGTTGTCTTACTGATGCTTGGCAATGAGTGTCCCTGTCTTCAGATTCTGATCGCAGCTTTTTTCGTCATTCAGGCCTACTACTTCGATCGCGATGATGTGGCACTGCCGGGATTCCACAAGTTCTTCAAGAAGAGCAGCGATGAGGAGCGTGAGCATGCCCAGAAGCTGATGAAGTATCAAAACATGCGCGGAGGGCGCGTGGTGCTGCAGGCGATACAGAAGCCATCACGGGACGAATGGGGCGCAGGCTTGGACGCCATGCAGGCTGCACTTGAGCTGGAGAAGACTGTCAACCAGTCACTGCTGGACTTGCACAAGCTGGCAAACGATCATAATGATGCTCAGGTACGTCTAGTCAATTAGGCTTCATCTTTTTTGGGGCAAAGCTGCGCAAGGATTGTTTCTTTGAGACTTCTTGGTGCCTAATGGTTCTTACGGAGCTTTGAAGGTGGTTCATAACAGTTCGAACGTTCTTTATGAAGAGCTGTGCTGTTGGAGCAATGCCCTAGAGCCATTGGCTAGGACATCTGAGTAGCTCAAAGCATTACGAGTAGGTAGGCAGTGCGAGTTTATGGAAGCGTGTTCAACTTTGTGACCATAGTTTCATTAGGTGAGAAAACGGTCAGCTACTTAAATTTCACGCTAACATCCCTAGACTCCTCCACCTATACAATGCCAGTTTGTGTGGCATGAGTTAACTTATTCTATTTCGTCACATTTTGGTCTCATTGGACAATAAATGTTTCTAATCTTAAATTTCTGGCTCCTTTAGAACTCGAATGTAACGACTCTTTTCAGTAAAGAGCTACACCATTCCTAGCCGACATTATCAAATCCATCATTTAGCTGTCAACACTGACACTACTTATGTGGAACAAGATTTTAAACATCCATCAAGTTTTTTTTTTATGGTGCCCAGTCGGGTCATGGAATGTTAACACAAACAGCCCTTATGATGTTCTGTGTTGCATTTGCTGTGCTGCAGCTGTGCGACTTCCTGGAAAGCGAGTACCTGGAAGAGCAGGTGAAGGCTATCAAGGAGCTGTCTGACTACGTGACCAACCTGAAGCGTGTTGGCCCTGGCCTCGGAGAGTACATGTTTGACAAGGAGACCCTGTCAGACTAGGCTCTGTATGCAGACACCACAAGTTGTGGTCTGTTTGTTGGTGAAGGGCTCGCACTCCTCGTGCGACTATGTACCATTTGGCCCTTTCTACCATGCAACAATAAAATATATATAAGAGAGAGCAATCAAATGACTATTTTTCTGTGTTAATTTTTGGCTTACTTCATTGCTGTCGACTACCATTCGGTGCCTGTGGACAGGTTTCTAATCAAGAGAGTGATAGAAGCCAGTCTGGGCGGTGTAATACTTGGGGAAAAAAAAATTTGGATGCTGACCAAGCTAATTAAAAAAAAAAGAAATCTAATGTGATCATTGTAATGTGGAATGTAATTGGTGTCTGCATCCTTTCTTTAAATACGTTTAATTAAAACGTGTTCATTCGTCATTCCAGGCAAGATCAAATGGACGACAGGAGACTAGTGGTTTGTGAACCGGATAAGCTACAAAAGGTAATGGTGATCGGTGCAAGTATTGTGCATCAACACGTGGAAAACTCTTGGAAGTAGTGTTAAAAAGCAGAGTTGAATAGTGCAGTCAAGGTTGGCATTCACATAGCGTACACACATTGGCATTTGCCACATATCGTCTCAATTTTTGTGGGGGTTGGGGAATTTCAAATACCAAATGCATTTCTGCCCAAAAAGTAGGAGAAATAAGACAGGGTAAATTGACAGAATTGGCTTGCAATCTTGGTAATGCCCATTCTGGGAAATGCAGACAAAGAAAGTCGTGAGCAGGGTGAAGTGATGAAATCTGGAAGTTTGCAGGAATTAAATGGAATCTGCTCGCACAGGATAGCATAAACTTAATCAGTGCGAGGGGCCTTTGTCCTGCAAGGGACATAAACAGGCTGAGAATGACGTAGGGTCCAGTTGATTTTTCCTGTACTTAATGCCTGTACCAGCATGTCTGTTCCTAAAAGTGCAGGCTTCGTGTTAGACATAAGGTAACAATTAGCATTTCTTACACTCAAGGGAGAGAGAAAGCGTGGGACAGTCCCGCAAGCATGTACAGTGACAAACCGGTCACATAGTACTCTCAACCATTGCCAGCACGAGTACAGCAAATGAATATGCAGCTTGATTAATGATGAAAGTGAGCTTTCATCATTAATAATGATGGTGAGCTTTGCAAAGATGTATACATGCATAAAGGCAGCTTAACGCAGAAATTCGGGTACATGCAAGTAATGTTGCACAAGAAACTACTACAACTGCTTTCACTGTAACCTGGTCAACAGCTTTGTAAAGTGCTTCTCACATGACCGGTTGTAAATAATGTGCGGCGCACAGTACAAACATTGCACAGTACTCCAGGATCAAGCGCAACAAAATTTTTAGCAGAGCAATTGGTACGCCCGATTGCTTGGGGTAACCGTGCCATGTCGTGATGAATGTGGTCTCTAAAGGTAATGATGTCTCTGATCTACACTTTTGAGTTGAAATTAGCCTGAAACAACTCGAACTGATGACGACGCAAACGAATGTATATGCATTAGTTAGCCCTAAATCGTTACGTTGCAATCTGTGAACATTGTACATCATCAAAGAAAAGTGCTGCGAGTTTTAAGATGGAGAGTAAGGGAAACTAATAAGGTATGCAGGAGGAAAAAAAAAATCCTGCTAAAAACCTATACGGAGAGAGAGAGAAATAAAATGGGCACAAACAATATGGGCAGACCTCCATGCAATGAACACTGCAGAGAGCAAAAGCCATTTTAACAGATGGGTTGCCCGTGCCTTTGCCGCCTTCTGCTTTAGTGGCTTACGAGCGTGACGTTTCGAAATGACTTGTTCTAAACATTTGTCGATGTGAGTCGTCTCATCACCGGGAAAAAGGTGTAGCACAGAACGCTTTTCATGCTTCTCCGCACAGCCGCAGTAATCACATATTATGCTAGCTGCTGTCGGTACGCAAAAAGGAATGCTACTCCAAAAGAAACACATTGCACCATGAGAGGCACTGCAGTGTTAACTTCATATACAACAAAGCATAGTATACATGCACTTTTGCTTTGTTAAGATGTTATCACAGTGGCAAGGAATCAAAACCTAACTCGGAAGCAGAATGCCATAGCCATAAAGCAACCACGGAATAAGGTATGCAACTTAACTTGTTCACTGAAGCAACCAATTGCAGAAGCATAGCAATAATTATACCGCTGGTTTCCAGTAGATGCCAAGATTATCTCAGGTGTTCAAAGTCAAGGTGTCAAAGTTCCATTTATGAATGTAGGGAAGGGGAGTTAACCAGTAGACTTTTGAGTTTAAAGTGTGGCTGACTACTTCAGTGATTGCACTGTGTAAAGACATCTGCACAAGTGATTTATCACAAGGTAAGTGAAAGACAACACACAGAGCAGACAATTTGCAGTTCTTTTGGCACTGTCGTCATGCTACCCTGTCTATGCAGTACCAGACAAGCTAGCAGATTTCCATTATTTTTTTTTTTTCAAGCATCACAAGTTTTTATCAACTATAGCAAAAGATTTCTAAATTGGAACTAATGAGACAAAAATCGCAGCATATTCACGGAGTGAATGATGATGAGTGGGGCGAAGCATCCATCAGCCCATCCGTTCGTTCTTACTTCCGCCCATCCGCACAACCATCCATGCATCCGTCCATTTGTCCATGCGTCCATTTTGAGTCCGTCCATCCATCTGTCTGTCTGTTTGTGCATCCATTCGTCCGTACGTCTATCCGTCCGTATGCTAGTCCGTCCGTCCGTCCGTGCATTCATCTAGTGAAGACTCCAGTACCCCCATCTTGCATCCCCTGTGGCACATACCCGCTCTAGAGCGGTATGTGCCATTGGTGGCTACGTACTACTACATACAAGGGATGGACAGACTCACACCTTGAGGAGCTTCGCCCCCTAAAAGAATTTGTTCTATTTTGTGATAGTTTCAGCAGTACTGAGAAAGATGGGAGTGCAGCACACAAATAGAAGATCACCCGAAATATAGGCATTGTTATAGAAGCGATTTTTTACCATGACCTCAATATACTCGAGAACCTCTGAAACTAAAAATACTTAAACAAATTTGCCCATTTAGTGGAACCACTGCCTTTAATTTGGTTTATTTTGTATGTAACTGTAGTACACCATTACAACTTCCTCAAAAAATGAAACCATCTTCAAGTGGAACATAATTTCCCAGCCTCTTCAAGTTCCAGGTGTTTGTCAGGTAGCATAGAAAATATACATGAAGAAAAAACTGATTTTGCACTCTTCAAATCAAAACCTAATGGACCTTTTTTTTAATAGCCAACAATGCTGACGCTTCCACTTGGCATTGTCCTCAAGCAGCGAGTCAGGCCAGCAACCTGGCATCAATTTTTCTTTCCACTTGCAGGCTGTGACCACTTAAACTCAGCTGTCCTTCTCGCCTTTGTAGCGCTCCAAGGCGTCTTTCAGTTCATCAGCATCCTCGGCTGTGCGCACACGAAGTAGCATGGTTGTTGGGCTCTCCGAATCATCCTTGCCATTCACAGGGGGGTTTGGAATGCACACCAGTCCCACATTGTTCTTGCCCAAACGAGACACTGGTAAAGACTGGGCCAGCATGATGTTGAGCAATATATTCCCTGCACACAAAAATGTTGTTCAGAGAAGATTTAACTTGTCACAACTTCACATGCTCTATCATAATAAGCAAACTTGATATTAAAATGTAGTAATAATTCATGCAGTCAGTTTTGAACAGCACTAAAAGATGTGTTCACAAAAATGAACAATAAAGAAAAATAAAACAAACGTAAAAAAAAGAGGCAGGCACATGCGACCATGGCCTACCAAGTCTTTCAAAATAACTGAAGAAACTAATTATCTTGCAATCCATACAGCCAGCCAATATTAGTTTACAACAGTGGTTCTCAGCCATGAATGTGTCGGGAACCCCTTACGGACTGGTGTGGGCGATGGGGGACCCCTCGGAGCAAAGGGGAGGGAGATGGGGGTACGTAGGTGAATAACACAACTGGAGCGTGAAACAGGTGCCTTTTATTGCTACCAAGAACATCAAACAAATGTGCCACATCACTTCATTTTGGACAGTTCTTCAACACGTGGCAGAGTCACACTTAACAGAGTTGCATATGCATCTGCAGGCACATTAAACCTGTTTTGGTATTTACTTTGAGTCACGGCCGGACTACCGTAATTACTCGAATCTAACGTGCACCTTTTTTCCGGTTAAGCGAGTTCATAAATCGCATGCGCGTTAGAATCGAGTACGAACAAAAAAATTACGGTCAATCTATTGCCATCGCAAATCCGAAATGGCCGCCCCCTACGTGCGTCGGCATGGTGCGTCGGCTATTTCTGCCTATGTGTTTACCATGTGCGGCACTTCGTACGTGTGCTGAGGAGTTCGTCATCTAGTAGTGCATTAGCATCGACGACGTGGAAGGGCCGACTCCAAAAACTCGAGTGCACCACGATGCCGCTTTTAAAAGAAAAGTCATCGCGTGTGCAGAAACGGGCGGAAATCGGGCCGCATCGCGGTCCTTCTCGAAACGTGCGTGCGGGACCGGCGGAAACAAAAGCAGAAGATTGTCGACAGCAAAGCTTCACGCAAAGGCTTCAGTGAACCACAGCAGGGTCGGTTTCCGCAAATTGAAGAGCTGCTCTGCGAGTATGTGCTTGAGGAGCGAGCGGCACAGCGGCCCATGACGACAGAACTGCTCCAAGTGCGGGCTATGCAATTAGTCTTAGAAAAAAGTCTAATGCGGAGCCTGTTTAAAGCAAGCAGGTGCTGGCTAATTAACTATATGAAGAGGAAAGGCTCTTCCCTCCGAAGGGGAACATGCATATGCGAAAACTTTTGCGGAGAAGTACGATGAAAAGCTTTACAGTTTTCAGAGGTTCGTCCTAAACTTGCGGCGCAACAACGGCTACCTGCTTGGGCAAATCTGGAATGCCGATCAGACGCCTCTTTACTTCGACATGCCTGGCACCACAACTGTCGAGAAGAAGGGGGCGAAGCAAGTTCGCGTGCTGACATCGGTCCACGGTAAAACTACAGTGACGGCAATGCTCTGTTACACGTCAGATGGGCACAAGCTTCGCCCGTACCTCATATTTAAATGGAAGACAATCCCGAAAGGAATCGTTTTTTCGAGTGGTGTGATCGTGCGGGCCAGCAAAAAAAAAAAATGGGTGCGCGTTGCAATCGATGTCTTACGTTTTTTTTTTTTTTTTCCGCGGTGGAAATCGGGTGCGCGTTACAATCAAGGGCGCGGTAGAATCGAGTAAATACGGTAAACACCAAAATATGTGAAAAAGCGGTTGAGGGCTTCGTGTATCACAGAAGTGGCTTCGGGGATCCCCATTTGAGAACGACTGTTTACATCAGCCGCAGCGTGCACGTCAAAGTTGGCATTAGTGCTATTGTTATTACAAAATGACAACAGAAAAAGTGTTGAAGCTGGTTGCTGACAATGATCACCATGACGCACCACTTTGATTACAAAAACTAATGCAAGAAAGATGGTATACTAACATGATAAGCTATTCTAACAGAGCTATATGGCATGCTACACTGAATGAAGGAAAGAAGGGGAATTGCAAGAGTTACTTTATTCATTGTTAGATATGGTATTATTGAGAACTAACAGACAAGAATGCCAAGGGAAGTACAGCGGATGTTACTGGTAGTAACTACAATAAAAATGTGAGGAAAGCAAAGTGGACGAAAAGATAGCTTGTCGCCATCAGGAACCGAACCAACCTTCAAATTGCACGTCTACTGCTTTACCAACTCAGCTACAGCCGCAGTCATACCTCCCGTCTACTTCATTTGGTATATCTGTGCACTTAAACCTTGGAGTGTTAGCGCCAATCGCAGCCATGGCGGCGAGTACGAAATACACTTTCTTCCTACTGATGTAAAAAAACACGCGATCATTTTACGAGCTGGCAGCTGCGGGATTATTGGTCAGCCGTCAGCTCGTAAAATATCAAGTCCTACGCGAAGAAAGTAGAAAAAAAAAAAGAGTGCTCCGCACTAGTTTCTATGGCTGCGAATAGTACTGACTAATGCTCCCAGGTTTAAGTGCACAGATATACCCGATGAAGTGGATGTCTGGGGGGGGGGGGGGGGGGGGGGAATGATCGCCACTGTAGATCAGCTGGTAGAGCATTGGACGTGCCATTCGAAGGTTGCAGGTTCGGTACCTGACAGAGGCAAGGCATTTTTCCATCCACTTTATGGTCCTCCCATTTTTACCATAATTACTACAAATAACACCCCCTATACTTTACCTTGCATTAATTTTTACTGTTAGTTCTCAATAATACTTTACAGATCATCATATATCTGATAGTGTACAATAAATGTGAACCAAGGTATAGAGACTTATCAATTAACTGTTATAGAAAAGAATGCTTGATATTCGTTCAATAGTTGATGATGTAAAAAAACACAGCACTAAATTTTACAAAAGTAGTTTCTTGCTCAGGCTGACATAGATTATGCACACAAAAACACATGAACAACAGAAAGTGTAGTTGTAAGGCACTACCAGAGGTATGCGTGCAACCACTTGCACAGAATCTTATACTGAGGATTTGGAAACAGGTCCACACTTACCCAGCCTAGTGTCAGCCCTGATAAGCAACTGGTATTTATCGTTGTGAGGCTTGATGTAGAGGTTGCCGACTCCCCTCTCTATGTAGCTACTGTCTTTTTTCTGGAACAGCTTGCACCTGCAAACCAGCACGACACTAACTATGACAAGAAGTTGCAGGCAAGCAACTTGAATTGACCATACAGTAGTAATAGTTGTGGATGTTTTTGTTCTATAAAACCATGATACTGCCATGTGTGACCACCCGATGAAATGATTATGAGGGATGTAGTAGATGAGGGCTCCAGAAAATCTGATCATCTGGCATTATTTAACATGCACCCAAATCGAACAACAATGGCCTCTAGCAGTTCACCTCCAGGGAAATGCGGCAGAGCAGCTCGGATTCAAACCACAGCCTTTGGGTCAGCAGTCGAGCACCACAGCCACTAGACCACCCACCGTGATCAGTGCGATTATACAGTAATAATACCATTATAAAATTTCTCTTAATTGCTGACAGGCACATTCAAGGGAGGACAACTTAAACTTAATGGGAGGATCATCTATCAAACACATCTTCATTCCTTGATCTAGGGCATATGGCAAGAACATGAGAAATATACGTTCACCACAAAGTACATGTCAAGTTAGCGCGAGGTTAAACATTTTGACAATACACAGTGTGGCAACTAGGTTCTACGGAAGCAAAGTGGAGGGAGGGCTATGAATGAAAAAATTGACATCCACCGGTTTGTGGCATAAGGCTACAGAGAAATCCACATGGCTCTCTCAGAGAGAAGAGCTACCAGCCGCGGAAGACACGTCAATAACTTGCAGGTGGTAATACCCGAGCATGGACATTTGTACCACGCTGCCAGTTTGTCAGAATCAGTCATAAGCAGCATGTCATATCCTTCAAAATTGTGCGTGCAAATCTTGGGAGGTTTTAATACACCCTAATGTTGCTGGCAACGTTTTTTTTTTTTTAAATAAACACCCAACACGTCGACGTCTGTTGCAGTGCTCAAGGTAGCAATGTTGTACTGCGTTAACACTACCCTGCAATATCCTCGCAATTAGATGCACTATGAAAGGTGGACGAGGACTGAAAGACGAAGCGGACATTCTTTAAGGAGGAGCTAGACCTTGCAACGCCAAGATACACGATTGTTCAGAACGTGTACACCTGCCAGCTCTCCTATTTGAACAGGATATTAAAAATTTCAGCGAACCTTCCAATACGGAGAGCATGGCTTTAAAGCTCCAGAAAAACATCGTCCGCACCACCACGATAAAAAAATAACAAAAAAGGACAGTGGTTCTAAAATTTTTTGGCCTTAATCAGCTGTGTGTAAGGTGCTCCTTGGGTCACTATCGCTGCAGTACGTTCATGCCATGCGGAAAAGCATACTAAGATTAGGAAGGCTACTAACTGCCTCGGGTCGCAACGCGTCTGGCTCCACGCACTTGCTGTATATTTACAAGTATAATCGTTGAGGTCTAGAAAGTTTATTAGCAATCATACAGAGCTGTTCATGATGTTGCTACAACCCTGACATACAATAGGTGAAAATTTATGCCAGCTTTTTTGTTTCATACCGATTTTACGAATATCTTTCCTTAACCTGCAAGATTTGTATCACCAAGGTTTTACTGTATACATATACAAATGTGCAGTCGAACCCACTTTTAACAATAGCAGTTCTAGCAACATATCAGTATAATAATGGGAACCTGCTGCACCTCAATGTTTGTATGTTGTATACTATAAATAACAGACTCACAACAATGCCCTTAGGCCAAATTATCAACAATGAATTATAGCTTCCGGTAGTCTTTGCAATTGGTAATGGAATACAAAATTCTCCAAAAGAAAGAACAAAACAAAAAATTCGAAATAGTGCACCACCCCAATAGTCACTGCACATTCACACAATAGGACCTGTTCAGTAGCGTTCTCAGTGTCACCGGCCACATGCGATTTTCTCATAGTCTTTCCACCCTTGTGAACATTAATAGGCTCCTCCCCGCCACGTCAAGGTAATATTGACCCGCACAGAGACAGTTATGCCTTCATATCTATGGCATGTCTCACTCTGCGGCACAGATGACTTCTGAAACTCACTATGGTCACAAGCAGATGTATTAGCAACATCACTTATTCGAGCCTGTGAAGTGATCGACGAGACAGCAGTGGTGGCGCCATTATTCCAGTTTCCAACTTGCACTTCGAATAAAAAGTGCGAGAAAGGAGACTAAAAAGAGTTGAAGTGGCCAAAGTTAAAACATTCTTATACACTGACTCTACGAGCAAGGGGTGGTGCGGTGAGAGCATTCGAATTTTCAAGCATGTCTGAAAAATTAGCAGCTGTGTCATCCTTATTACGTATGGGAGTTGAAACATGTCATGCAATCTTACAGCTCCCTCAAAACAGCCTGGGGTTCCACTATTTTGCTTTTTTTTTTTTGACGCAACCCTTTTATGACTATAAAACTGATATGCATACACTTTTTCAAACAAAGAGCAAGTAACGGTGGCGAAGGTGGAGGCAGCAACCACGCCTTGAACAAGCAAAAAAAGCCATTTCCACTTGCTTTGACGTTTTTAAAAGCTCTGTTGCTGCATTGTCTGGGAACAGAATTCTTTGCCCTCATGCTTGACAGCACAAAACCTTTGCCCCTGAGCCACCATGGCTTGTCCAGTGACCTGATCTTTGAATACATGTATGTGACACACAAAAGAGCACAAACATCACAACATACCGTTTCGTGTAGACAGCATCCTTCTCTTCAACAGGTGCAATCTCCTCCTTTGGAGGTACGTACTCCTCATCATCGGAACCTGCAAACAGGCATAAACATGAGAAACAACACTTTAAATAACGTATCTCGACTGATGCTGCACGACCTGGTAAAGAGCGAAGTGGCAATTCATCCGCACTTGCAATGATGTGTGTCTAACCGAACCAGTGAATTTAAAGAGTTGGTGACACAAAAATGTTGCTCAGGCATTTTTTTTTCCAGCAATATGTTACGGAATCCAATTAGTTATAACAGCATATAGCTTGTTGCATTCTGTGTACTGACCAGTTGCAGTCTAGAATACCTCCAAGAACAAGTTGTAGGTCGCAACTAATGCCACCTAGCATGTGAAAGTGCACACAGAACTGTAACACACTTCCGTGCTGCCTGCATTGCGTGCTGGCATTCTCTTCCCTGCCACATTTGCTATGCGATGTCATTGCAGTCATCATTCTTTGGTGGAAATTACTTCCTTGAGGCTTTCAGACTTTCCATATGTTCACTGCGATACTCCCGAGCTGTCACCAAATAGTAGCTTGCTGGCGCAAGCACCGCAATAGGGCAATGGTGACTATGATGTCATCAGTTAGCTGCACCAGCTCGGAGCTTGGTCGCAGTGGTGACGACGCACAAGTTGGCGATCACCTTCAAGCCACCTTATGCGATGCCAGTGTCGCGAGGTTCAGTGTGTGGTGCTGGATTATGTATGTGAACTTCAGAATTCGCAAGAGTTGCCTTTCAACCCATATTCACAGTTGAGGTCTGGTAGATGATACAGCATGCACATTCACAGCAACAATCCTGCAGGATATCTCAGCTGCAAAATTGTGTGCTTGCTCTCCTTTAAAGAGAAGTGGTTCAATGCCACAGCAACTTTTGCCTATGTTGCGCATTTATGTCCAGTTGTATAAGCCACACAGAACTAAGATTATCAGGATGGCTACCAAGTTGATTTTCGGAAATTTGATTTTGGAATTTTTCATGATGATTTATAGCGAATTCCAGTACCGCCATGTCTGCTTGAATAACTATGCACAAGAAACAAAGCCTCGAGTGATGAACAAAAAAAAAATCTGGTACTTACGGACAAACATTCATAGCATGTACTCAAAATTTTCAGAGCGCGTGCAGTAAATGTGAAAAAATATGTATTTCTAGCCGCAAGAAAACTTCTGAGCCAGGCAGTGATTAAGTAGGCCGTTTGATGTTTAGAACCAGAGAGCAGACACACAAGTTAAAATGAACAGCAGCTGCAAATTTGAAGGAGCCCGCGATAGTCTGACAAGGCAGCCAAAGCTGCTAAGAAACATAGAAGTGGAGCTATCTCGGGGCATTCGTGTAAAAGTGGACGCGGGAGCCCGGCTGGTTCTGCCACAGGAGTATGTTCTAGGTCACTACAATAATCGCTGCAGCCCAGGCCACTTAGGATGTGGACTGTACTGAATTAGATCAACCTGGACTGTTGTATTTAATTTACTATTCAGGACATGGATTGGATCTCATTCAACCTGGATTATTGTATTTACTATTTATTTGCAACCTCTGCCTAATTTGCACACCTCTAAAATATGCTTTTCAACAAAAAAAATAATACTTATAAACTACTACTCGGGCACATGCATTAAAAGTCGGATATGCTGTGTGATATTTAGAAGCAACAGGCATCAAAATAGTGCATGTACCAAAATGGTAGCTAAGGAATGCTTTAGTCCACATGAAGGACAAGTTGCTGAGCAGAAACTTCCCCAGTCTTGTTTACGTCATAGCTGCAACGACTGTGACTACCAGTATATCTGTGAGAACAGCGATTTCAAGAAAGAAGTTATTAAACAACACAAACATGACTTCACCAAATGACGCGTGGCTTCGAATGCCCTGGCTGAGCACATGTAATCTACAGGCCACCAAACTGACTTTTCAAGCGTGCGTGTTCTGTCCAAAGAAAAGAACCTTGCGTAATGCCTTCACCTGGAATCCCTGCACATACAGACAACAGCCCATACTCTGAACAGGAGTGATAGTACGCTTCCAACAATTAACTCTCGGAGCTTACATCACATGCTTAGGCATACTTAAATATGCTGCACCTTTCTTATGGCTTTTATTGTGAACTAGGCTTTTGTGTTGAAACGTCGGTACACTTTGGTCAGTGTATCCTTTCATGTTTACACTAAAAAGCTACAACTACGCATTGGGTTTTTTTTTTTTTTTTCATGCCTCTTCCAACAGTTCACTGCAGTTTCAGCTGAAGGGGTGACTTTTCAAGCTTTGATCAATGGTAATGCTTGTTTTTATGACAGCCGCACAGACTTCCGTCAGTGTCCATGATCTGGCCAGGTTTTTCAGCAATTCCCCGACTTTTCCAAGTTTTCCAGGTTGGTAGATACCCCGATTAAAGTGTTAAAAAGCCAAGCACCACATTGACTGTTATCAATGTGTGTGTTTAAGGGGAATCTGGGAATAATAACTCTCGAGAAGTCCTAACTCACCAGTGGGTAACCCATAGCAGTCAAACACGCGAATTGAAAAAACACAGAATTGTTCAAGCTGTGACCCCTGCATTGCATCTTTCCGTGAAATCGCAAAGTATGCATTAGAACAGCTAAGTACGCAGTGCTACAAGTGCGACAAAACATTCAATGCCTGGGCTCACCATTCTTCGGGGTGCTTGTTGCTGGAGCAACCGCTGATAGTCCAAACGTGAACGTTGGCTTCGGGAGAGGTGAAGATGTAGATGCAGCCTGATTGCCAAATACAAATGTATTGGTAGGCTCTGAGGCAGGAGTATCTGACTTTGCATCATCTGGAAGGAAGAGGTGCACAGAGCCTTTCTGGATGCGTTTCACAAAAGGAGTTGGTAAAATGCTAACTGCTGTCGCAGCCACGACAATGCACACTGATTTGTGCAAACACGGTGTACGCGACAATGCAAACATGGTGTAGCACAACTATGGGTGGTGTGGGCTTCCCTTGCTTTTAGTTATGCCCAATTGCCCAATTGCTATATAGATTATGCCCAATTGCTATATAGATTATGCCCAATTGCTATAATGGTTATGCCATCATATCAAGTTCAGAAACTTGCTGTAATTGCGGCTGCAAACTGCCACAAATATATGAACACACGCATTACCTTTAGGTGGTTGGCCAAAGCTGAAAGGAGTGCTGCTGCTGGATATTGTTGTGGCAAACTTGAATGTGGAAAGCGAGCTTGTGCTACTTTTGGCCGTTTCAGACTCGGACGCGCATGACTTTCGGATATCAGATAGATGACGTTCATAATCCTGGAAGACTGGACTGAAATCCGAGAATGGATTGGACTCCATATGCTTCTTTACCCAACTCAGCAGGCACTCGTTTAAGCGCTAGAGAGACGAAAAAAAAATAAGTCAAGCTTTAACAAAATACTGCACAAGACTGTAAAAATTACTAGAATACTGAATTGATAGCAAACTTAGCAAAGTGTGAGCTTTGAAGATGTACAAAATCTGGATACATGCAGTCAGAAAGCCAACAAAGCTTTGCAGTATCAAGGAAAACTTGACAGCTGAAAAGGCAAAGCTGCCTTAGCAAGCAAATGTGAGCTGATGAATATACTGCTGTACCATACAGCAAATGTTGCAAGACAAAAAAAAAAAAAGCAAATGCAGTGTAACAAATCTGACATAATTAAAGCTATTAGTCACCTTCAGCTTGCCTAGAAAAACTGGATCCGCATTTTGTTTCTCCTTTTCAGGTGCTGCTGTTGGAGCAGATCCATTGGGCAGTGTGGCATCCGGTAGCTTTGCGGTATTAGGAGTGCCAAAACCAGCGAAGCTGCCGAACGGGCTAGCTGAGGCCTGTGGACAGAAGATGTCACAAGGCATGTAATAAAACCGATTTGCACAGAGCTTATGCTACATACAATGAACATTTTTGAGTAACGTGATGCTAGCGGTCAGCACTGACCGAACGCTAGCTCCAACTAGTACGAATAGACCATTTTCAAGTGTACAAGCGCCGCCAACAGGCACGGGAGTGCTTATGGAAAAAGTATGTACGCCGCAGCAGACACTACTACAAAAGCACTGGCCTCGTGCTTTAGCTCTCCACATGTGCTGTGCGACCAATTCTCAAATCAACCGCATGTGACAAGTTGTAACATATTATCGTACAATTTCCACTGACTAGTGTTGCCGAGGGGGGGGGGGGGGGGGGGTAAACTCTTGGATTAGTTGAGAGGTTCCAAGGTGCCATTGTTTTGTTTTTTCGTCAACATGCCCTACAGCATAAATCAGATGAAAATGTACCACTCGGTTTTCTACATCTGACCAGTGGTCAGTGTAATTCATGGAGGCACATTTGAAGCCAACATCCACCGACACTGTTGACACTGTTGACGAGCACAAGGCGAGATTCGAGATTTAAACAATACACAAAAGAGTACAGTTGGCATTTTGAAAAATAAGATACATTGATTAGACTGCATGTGCATCACTTGTACTGCCATCACTCACTGCAACTAACTGTACATATATCAAAAAGTATTGCAGTAAAACTGATGGCTAGGTGAGTTGGTAAATAACCATATTTTAACTTTTTTTCAGCGCGCACAAACCACAGGGACAAGCGCTTGTCTGTCTCTTTCTTGTTCCTGTGTTTTGTGTGCGCTAAAAAAAAGTCTTAAATATATCAAAAAGGACAATTATATCTATACCCTGCTTCGCACCTCTACCTTGCCTTCTCAACTTATGAGACACACTGGCGGCCCTGGTGGTAGTAGCGCTCTCATGAGCACACTCGACCGTTTGAGGTTCACCTAGTCATGGACTCTTGAGATTATACGCAGACAGGTTGCACGCAATGTTGGAGACTGTAGCCCAGTGTGCCTAGCAGTACCCACACCGTCTGACAACAGAGATGTGCAACAAGGTTGCGCAGTGGTTGATATCTGCTCCGACAGGTGCTGCAACCCTACCAGCTGATCATATTTCCCGATTTTACAGCCAATCACATCAGGAGGTAGGCTGACGTCGTGCTACCAGAGGATGTCATACTGTGACTGGACGGTTGGAAATACGTTTGGCTGAGCTGCAGTGATTTCCAGCGACTCCCAGCTTCAGAGCGTAATAAATTACACAGTTTAAACAGATAGCTTAAAGGAGCCCTACAACACTTTTTGAACACGGTCAGAAAACGTCGTCGATCGATAGTAGAGGCTCCCGACAACACGCGAGCTAAATATTCACAATAAATTATCAAAGTCAGCTAAAAATTGCTTTCTCTTCTCTCGACAAATCATGCAGTATACCCAAAAATCACACGTAACAAGCCCATCTATCAGCCATTGGCTGATTTGAACATGGCGTGCTTGCTTGTTACAGAGATCCCCGTGGGAGGCCGCTACTTGTCCACACGTGCGTGCGCGATTGCACTGAAAAAGTCGCGCATTCGAAAAAAAAAAGTGCTCAGGGTTACGGGGTGCGCGTGATGTTTCTCTACGGCCCTGCCATCCCTCCCTGCTTAGCTTCCAGCGCTTTCATAGGGACGAGAGAATGCAATTGCAGCGTGTGACAAATCTTTACAACTCTGCTCGTACTGGACGGATTGTTAAAATTTTTGCAGAGTTGAATTCGTGAGACAGTAAGCTCTTCCAGTGAATTAATTCTATAGTTACTTCAAAAAGTGTTTCAGGGTTCCTTTAAATCAGTCTGTAAATGACCTTAAGGACTTGGTATACCAGTCCAATTTGTTTGTAAAAAAAAAAATGGTCGAATCAATTTCAGGGTCTGTTTAAGCAATAAGGATTACAAGAAAGTCAAACGACAATTTTTGCAGGCACTCACTTGAAGCAGTAAAAATTTAGAATTCATAATAGAAACTTTCGAATCTCCTATGATACACAAAAGGCTCCATTATAAATCCTCCCTATGAAAAAAATTCATTGTGCGAACACCATGGTAACAAAAAAGCTCTCAATGGAATTAAGCACTACTCAATGATTAAATAAATGATCAATGGTAGATCTTATCTAAAGATATAACATGGCAGCAGTATGGATAGTGGAACAATATTATGCTCTGATATAGAAGAACTCAGCTAAGGTAAATCATGAAATGCACAGTAAGGACAATTTGTGGAGGAAGAAGTAGTCGGTGTCCTGCATTGAACTTACTTAGTATGACGACCTAACTGCAAACAACTTTACTTCATAGCGTATATGTGTGGTGCCAGCTAATCAGAACCAATGATACCTGTGAGGTGCAAGAATATACTTAGCATTTACGAGTAATTAATGCCACAAAGACAATACTTGTTTTATTCACAGGCAGAATTTGAAAAGAGATGTGACAATGTCTGCCGATAAAGGCTAGCTTGTGTGTGTAAGCAATGGACCATGATGAGCATTCAGACCCACCATCGCTAGCCATGCAAACAATGAGCTAACATGTTTGGGCCAAGTTTTACGACAGCACTACTTAAAAGAAGGGTGTCTTGAAGGGCCATTTGATACACGATACTGTGAGTGAACAACGCAGAGTAAATTAATTCGTCTCTGTTCCATTTTCACGCCGTTCACTCGCAGTACTTAAAATAAAATCTTTTCGTTCAACACACTGGCACCCCTTAACAAACAATGCTGAATCTACTGATGACAAGTTGGTGAATAATGGCTCACTGGAGAAGCAGTGACTGAGAAGTGTGTTAGTAATTAAAGTGCTAATAAAAAATTTATTTCTAGAGATTTGCAATGCACCTAAATAATAGTAATGATGCTCAATGCTTTAAGTGTTTGGTGCCCTTAGAGTAACACAGGATACGGTCAGCAAACCACCCATGAGTATTTATTCCTTGGTAAAAAGTAGTTCACGCTTTCAGTGGCAACGCTAATCGGGCTGCATGGCTGTCCAGAAGTCACGCACCATGCTCTGACATCGAAAGGCGGAATGTCAACAAAAATGCTTCTTCAATGCACGGTATTCATGTTTTACTTCATATTCTGTTTAAGTGAAAACACACAGATATGGGTAACTTTCCACCTTCTTTCAACTGAGACACACACACATTCGGCGTGGTGAGCTGAAACAACCTAGGTCAACAGTGTTCGTTAATAAAAAACATTTGCGCTTGGACACTTACTGAAGTGTTGGTGAGGCTACGCTTGGCAGTCCGGATTACGCGGCGCTCGATTTCTTTCTCGTCAGCTTTCTTGAACTGGCCTTGCTCTTCGGGTTCATCTTCATTTTCCCAGTTGTCGGCGTTCAGTTCATTGGTTGCCTGCCGCTTAGCCATGCTTCTGTCGAAAGGCAAGGCAACGCGGGATAGCGTCAGCAAACATAAACGAAAGCCGGACGATTTATCACGTTAAGATAGGCGGGAAACGTCGGTCAGTATTTCGCTCTTTACATTATGCAGGCAAGAACATGATTGACTTGTCACACGAAAAAAATTCGCCGTTTTGGTGCGGGCAACAAGCGACCCATGCTATCAAACCCAATATCAATAGCAACCAGGTAATGACTACTCAGAGCCACGTGCTTGTTGAAATGATAACATAAAATACTAGCCGCTGCTTTAAACGCCGCTATGCGTTACGCCTCGTAGCACGCGGGAGAAACGGGCGCAGATAGCTTCACTGGAAGGCATCGGCGTCTTGTACTGCTTCGATTAGAGCCTATATGAAGCGTTGAACTGTTTTAAGAATAGTTACCTCACACAAGGGACCTAGTAAACAACGCAGTTACGCGCACCGCAACGTATCACTTATTTTTCATTCAATCTAGCCGTTCGCCGACGTACTGTCACGACAGAGTGGCGTGAATCATTTTGTCAACAGTGGGCGACGAGAATATTCAAGAGAAATTACGCAAATGACGTACCAATTGTACTCTCTGAGGGGCGCGATTTGCACGCAAATCGATACATCGTGAAATGCGAGAGCACATGCACACGGTGAGACCTCGGAAAGATGCGAACGTCGGTTACAGGCTCGCAGCGGTCGTACACGATGTTGCGGCACTCAACAGCGGCTTTATCGTCCGAAGGACGAACGAAAGCTGCATGCAAGACGCGCGCCTTCGATAAATGGTTCTGCAATGCGCAAATATTTCGATAAAAACCAACAAACCACCTGTCTTACGAAGTTCTCCCCCGGCGCACTACTTGCTCAGTGACCTGCCTGCGCGTGCGATGCGCGGTGGCAGCAGCTGCCCTTTTTCGCACTATGCGCAGCGCGAGAGGTTGTCGCCGTAATAAAAAGCGAAAAAGAACCGAAAAGTGTGTTTCGCGTCGAAACCTCGAGCTCGAAGGGTTGACGAGGTGTGTTACTAGCGTCCAAAAATTTATTGACACTTGCAGAGGGCAAATTTAACGACGTTTGTCCCAGTTTCGCGAAATATTTTCACATCCGGGCACAGATTTCGGGAGCAAGTCTCCGCCCGATCACTACGCCGACACCAGAAAAGTAGTCCCTCCGCACCCATCAAAGATTTCTAATTTCTTTTTCCAAGACAACGAAAAAAGTTGTCCGAGAATATATGCAGTCGCGTTACCGGTTAAATAGTACCACATTTTGGGGTATTAATTGAGTAAATTGAGTTTGGATCAGTCAGCTGCAGTTTCAGCTCATTTATTCGTGCAGCCTCTCTACCCTAGGTAGGACGACGAAAGCTCAGCAGTACTTTCTGACTTGATGTAATTTGTGTAATCGGTTGTATAGGACCTGTTTTTCTTCGCGGGCCTGTGTGATACTCAAGCCAAGCTGGATGCCTTTCAAGTGAACGCGATGGAGCTGCAGACCCTTCAGAGTCAACTTAAAAGTGCCATCCAGAACCATCAGGTATACGGCCGGACGATAGGTCTTGAGTTTAAGTTGATAAATCTCGTCTTGAAAAAAAAACAGGCAGTGTCGACTTGTGCATGTTTACATAGTAGCTCGATCTCTGCCACGGGCTGCCTAGTGCCTAATTGTTTTGCATTAGCGTTGTTTTCGGTACGTTACTCCATCCGAGCTGCGAGTTCCCCTATGCTATCGGTCGGTTAAACTTTGTTGTCGTAGTTTTTATCCAACAGTCGTACTGCTGTGGACTTTCGCGGCAGCCATGTATCGGGACGTGTACACAAGCGCCAAGTTTTAGAATCGGCATTGCGCAGCGGACTTCGAGGTTTTTCTCGTTAAAAGCGCGGTGCGGGTATTGGTTTCGCTCACTGAACGGGTGCCTAGCGGTTTCTTGTCGCTCATACAGCACTTCTCTGCCTTCCATTTTCAGATCGTGCTGTCAAAAATGCGCATTGATCCTCAGGTAGGTGCTTTGGCTTGTATGTTTTTTTGTTGGCACTCTTCGGCTTAGTAGTGCGCGCATGTGTGCTGCTCTAAACATCCGAAAGAGAAACGCTTCTCGGGAGATGCAAAGGCGCTGGGTACGCGACGGAAAACTCGCTTGCGGGATCCCCGAAGTGTGCCCCCGTTATTTTGTTTTTGTTTGTTGACGAAACCGCGAAGTTGTTTCGCGGCGGCTCAGAGCGTGTTTCGTTTGCAGAATTCGGCCCTTCAGAGGCAGCTACACGATCTGCAAGCCGAAATCCTGACGCTGAGCGAGCAGCAAGTAAGTAATCAGCTCCAGATTTATCGACTATTGTGACCTTGGCATGGTGTGTCTTAGCTGCGCGGCGCTTGTCAGCCCGGTGGTTGAGGTCGGCCTGTGAACTTCGGGTGTTTCGGTTGCGCCTAGCGTGCTACGAGAACGGCGCCGTTGCCTTGTATCGGCTTCGCATGTGTTGCGTTGCCCTAGGAGGTTTTTGTGGTTGTCAGCGAGTGCGTACATAAATAAAAATGACTGCCGTGTGTCATCACAAGTGCCGGTATCGCGGCTGCCTTTTCTGCTTGCGTGTTCTTTGTAAACTTTGTTTTCTTATGTACGAACAGACTTTTTCTCGATGCGTGCGGGTGTCCCCTTAGTGCGCTTCAACTACAAAAACATTTATGAAAAGAGAAGTAGTGCATCCCGTGATTTTTTTTTTTTACCTTTCAGTGGCGTGAAAATTTTGTTCGTAGAGCGTTAAGGCGATTCAGTTAACATTTTTCTCGCGGCCATTATTGCTTTTAACGCCCAGCTGTTAATTCTCTTGCTTGTAAATGGGTCTTCTTTTATGAAGCATAATGGAGTGCTTGCATTGAAAAACATTCCGCCTTTTGTGTTGCTTGCTTGAACACGAAAGTTTATTGATTTTCCGAAGGTTATACTACCCAAACAAAGGTTTTTAATCCAAACTCATCTTTAATAAAATTGCGTTGTTTCTTACGAGTGATCATGAGTTCCAACGGTTCTTTTTTGTTTTATTTATTGATGGAAAAGCGTCAACTTGTACATGGTGCCAAGCGGGGGTCGGTGTTTTCTTTCTTTTTTATTCTTATTTCGTATTTCGTTGTTCCACACATCAAACTGTTTTAATGGGAACCGGCGATGATCGATAGCCCGATAACTTATTAGGGGTTCGTAATCAGTTGGTAGTCAATGGAGCTAGGTCACATTTCATGTCTCCTAGAAATTACTTGCCCTGCCTTTTGAGTCAGTGCTCTCAATAACAGTGCCTTGTGTCAGCTGTAGTAATGACGTCATGCGATGTAAATTTAGCATAGGTATCTCATCTGTAAACTATGTTCTGTAACATGGTCTTTGCATCCTGTCATCTCGGACTTGTTTGTTGGAACCACTGTTGTTTACAGGTTTGATTTCTCCATGCGTGATGATTTCAGCAGTAGTGTTTGGTGGTATGAATATTATATGATGTGGTAATATGAATATTTTCAACCATGCTGATGTTTCAGTTATGCACCTCTCCAAATGCATAACTAGCATGTTAAATAGAACAAGAATTTCATTGGGCTTGTTAATAATTGTATATCCATAATACTAAAGCTCTTCAGCATGCAATTGCAACCTGGCCGTTAGTAGTGTTGCTGTGACTATGTTCCAGAGGCACATGCATTATTTCCAATACAGTTGCCCCCAAGCACTTCACATTTCCAAGGGATCATGGGATATATTTCTGTAAAGTGACTACATTAGAATGTTTGTGTTGAATGAAAGAAGCACAGGTACAGACAGTTGTATTTGTAAAGGGTTTCCCTGTTTAAAGGGACACTAAAGTCAAATAACGATTTATGTGAGAGTGAAAGCTTAGTGTTTCACAACGTCTAAAACGACAATATTATCAACAGGTAGTGCCATACTCACTGAGAAATTAATAAGGTAAAGGAATGAGAACATGTGCACTGCAGCAGGACATTCTCAATATGATCCCAATGACATCAGAGTTACAGCCTACAACTAATCACTAGCAATCGAACTAGCTGCACTAACTAAAGAACCTTCCAGGCATCAAGAGGTGTAATCAAATGCTGCTTGTTTGTTTCTGTTTGATTTATAGAAAAAATAACCACCAGATCTTACTATGGGGAATAGCGTGCGTGGTTCGAAAATTCAATTTTCGCCTGGTTGGACAAATCATACTATCTAGTAGGGCCCAGTTGAACCGATCCTGCCTACAATTTTAAAAGCCAGAGCTAAAAATTTTTCAATGGCCGTTGTTGCTGCTGTGGTTTCTACTGCTTTTGTTCTGCTGCTACTAGTGTAGGGAGCCGTGCAGTAGAGCCGGTCAACGTCGTGCACAGCAACAGTGACGTGAGGCGGGTAATTTGAAGTGCGCTAACCCGACGCGGACCATTAAAACATGATTTTATTTCAAAATAGGCACCTCCTTGGCACAAAAGTAAGCCTACTAGGTTTCTGGACCGCTATTTCAACAATCAACGTTGACTTAATAGTTGCCTTTAGTGTCACTTTGACTTGCATATATTAACAAAGTGAATAGACACGACCTTACAGCTTTTATTTAGCTTCATAATGCAAGTTATGCTTGTGTTGTAAGTTTGCCAGTTTCAAGGAAATCCAGCATCTGCAAAGATGCCCTGCAACATTTTTTTCTGTTACGATGAAATGACCCGACTTTTGAACTGTGTTGCTTCAGTGATCTCCTGTGGGAAATCTTATTCCGAATCTGTCGTGTGTAAGTGGAGTTATTGCACAAAACAAGCGCTCCTTTCATCACCATTACTGTGCTGGAAGCTCACACAGGGAAATATACAAGCGGGTGGCGCGCTTCCTGAAAGTTATGTCACCATGCATCATAGCCATGTGGTGGCACCACGCCCTGCTGGTAACACCAACACTACGAGAGTGTCTTCTACAGCACAATTCACAAAATCGTTCAGTACCTGTCGTGCTCACGTACATAGTAGATAACAACACATCCACACAAATGGCATCGGGATTCTCGGCTGCTCTCGACATGAAATTGCCGATTCCCTGCTGCATGGAGTGCAGTAATATTTGTCTCGACCGACTAAAGCTCAATAGCCTTTTGTGACCATGTTCAAAAGTGTGGCAGGGTCTTTCTGTTTGCTGTTCAAAACGAGTTGCTTGACATTCTTTCAAATTTTTACAGAAACAGGTGGTTCAGCAACTGAGGACAGAGCTTGAGCGGAAGCAAAGTTCAGCTGTGCTGAAGCTTTCTCACAATGCACAACTCCTGCCCAGGGGTGTGGTAAGTCCTGTAATCTTTCTTTTTTGAAAATAATTAATTGCTGGGTTATTGCAATCTTGCCTGGTTTTGCGTTGCCTTTGCCCACAGTTGTAATCGCAGCATTTCGTAAGAGTTTGTTGTTATACAAGGGGATAGTTTTCTTGTTGGTATCATGGAAGCTACAGAAAGCATGCTATCGAGCACGCCAAAAAATAATACACAAGTTTATTAATAATTTTCTCATTTGCATTGCTGAAATAAATACTGCTCTATTTATTATTAGATTAAAACTGTTATAGAATGTTGTTGGTAAAATACAATTATTGGTCACTTTACTAGCATGTCTTTTTCTTTACACTTCCTAGACAGCAGCACAATCTTGCATGCCATGTTTTACAGAATAAACAAGGTGTCCGTGACATATGTGGGTCAGTGTGTGACGCAGACTTGCTGTTTGATTCTCCAAGCAAACTGTACTTGTAATATGACATTAAAATGTATACTGAGCGATTGAAATGTCCTTTTCCCGTTCTCCCCGGGAGTGTGTGGTTTTTATGGGTTTTTCTAAATGTGCTAATGGTGTGACTGAGCAAGACTGAAATCAGTTGCAAGCTGCTGTCCTATGCGTGGAGTAGCAAAAACGTGTGGAAGCCCTACCTCCATAGCCTTCACACCATCGCGAAGATGAGTTGCCCCCTAGTATAGGCATGCATGATGGCATGGTGCTGAGGTTGCCATACATTGCTCCTTCTGGATAATTCTGGATAAGTACATTGAGAACTGCTGACCCACAGATTGCGGGATCGAATCCCTGTTGAGGCAGCTGCATTTTCAATGCAGGCGAAATTGCTAGAGGCTTGTGTACTTAACAGTTATGTGCACATTAAAGAAGTCCAGGTGGTCAAAACCTTCTTAAACCTCTACTACGGTGTCTCCCATAATTATATTATGGTTTTGGTACGTTGAATCTCAACCATTATTAAAAAACGACAGGAAGAAGAAAATGGAAGCTTGTCATAAAAAAAATCCATAAAGGGTGGTTGTGTCGAGCTGACATTTCAACAAGCTTTTAAACAAGAGAAAGACAAGTCCGATTGTCGAAACGTCGGCTCAACACGACACATGTTAACGGATTTTTTTATCTCAGCAATTATATTTTATGAGTCTTGCATTGCCACTTTGCAGCTGGGTGGTACAGGTGTCCCGGTGAAGCTGCAGGCAGCCCTAAAAGGGGGACCAGGTGGTGTGCTCCTGCCACAGGTGGTGGTGGTTCCGAGCTGCAGTGGAACCCCTCATGGATCTCCCACTCTGCTGACCCCGTCGATACGTGTGCCCCAATACCCGCCTTGCGGCCAGCGTTTAACTCCACAGCAGCCACTGGTGCAGGCCCAGCATCAGCAACCCCAGCATCAGCATCCCCAGCAGCAGCATCAGCAATCTCAGCAGCAGGTGAAGTGTCCAGCCAGCAGGCTCGTTTGAAACGACATTGTCACATCCTGTGGGGGCTTGTCCTCAGTTGTGCCCTGATTGCACTGATGTTTATTACTTTTTTTTTCTGGCTAATGAGAGGGGGCATTCTGATAGGGTTAAAATACTGAAATGTTAAGCGGTTCCCAAAAAGCATCTAGAAATATAGGGAATGAGTTTCTTGAATTCTCTCCTGGCTCCTGGCATTTTCTGCCTCCTAGACTCAATTCGTGACACCAGCAGTCAGTCCGTGTGGCGTCACGAGAAAGTGTACTTTCAATTGGTCCACATATCAGAGATATCAGATGTGAATTGTCTCCTAATCTGCTTTGCCGTGCTGTTACACGATTGTCCTACCTTGTCGGGCATGACTATTATGTGTGATCAAGATATTTCTTTATAAATTTTGTGCATTTTTGTCTGGGCAAGCGAAGATGTAGCTAAAGAGCACAAATTTTTGGTAAGCTCAATGCTGTGCGCTGAAACTGTTCACTTGTTTTAGGAAAGCACAATGGGAAAAATGGTGATAGCACCTGTAGTAAGGGTAGTGAAGGCAAGAAAGAAATCACTCTTTCGTCTCTGAAATTGGAGTGCTTTCAGGGCCCCACAAATTCAAAATTATACCACAGGTCTGTGCAAGAATGCCTTCCTAAATTGCTGTGTGACTTTTGAATATGAATTCAGACTACAACCTATTATGTTAAATGCATATAGCATATCTTTACGTGCCTCCCAGCCATTTCGTTGGAGTAATTGGCCGGGTTACCTAGCATGCATGGGCATACATGCTTGTAAACACACACAAATGACATAGTGCAGCACGAATGTACACCAAATAAAAATAAACTATGATCTTCTCATGGTTCGATTCAATCTCTGATTTTGTAGTGGTGAAGTCTGCTGTATCAACCACTGGACCACAATCGGAGGCTCCGTCAGCTTGAATATAATGTTTTTACCACTTTGAGACATGACCAATAAGGAAGGGTCGGTAAAGGTGTCAGATTGATAAAATTATTTCGTTGCATTCTATATTTTATCTAAACAAAAACAATGTCATAGCGTGTACATCGACTTATGTGTCATAGTAATTATTCATAATTAATGCATGAATGAATGTACATTTATCCTGAATTCGTTCATTTTACAGCAAAAGTTGGTATGATATCACAACAAGGGGGCCGTCTGCCACTGCCGCTAGAGTTCGATATCACATGAAATGAGAAAAGATATACAGGATGGAGCGGGGTTCGAATTTAGGTTCTCTCCATGCCAGCCCAGTATTCTACCACTGAGCCATGCGGTGCTCGAAACTACTGTGCATAAAAACCCTATACAAGGGTAATGTCTGGAGGAAACCACGACACGCAATATAACGTGGCAGAAGAGTAATATAACATTCGGGCATTGCAGAATGCGAATTGTGTTACCAGGCGTCACACAGTATGAATTGCATTATGAGTGGGTCGTTCATTGCTTCCAACTTATGCAAAGAGCTCAGCCATAATTCATCAGTCATTGAATCAATTAATGGAGTAGGGTGTCTTGTAAGCATACTTGTATTAGCACCCCCAAGTGAGTTTGCAAAAGGTTCTAGAAATGGTTCTCTTCTTGATTTTCCTATGATTGTGCAGTGTTTTTCATTAATTCTGGTCATTTTTAAGTAGACTGAAACCTCAAAATAAAAATGCTGAGCAAATTCGTTTTTGGTTGTGTTCATCTTGAGCGAAATAAAATAGTTTTGTCACGGCCCATGAGAAGCGTCATGTTCGTGATTATGCCTTAACAGGGGTAGAACAGCTGCGCTATATCTGTCGCCGAACGAACGGGTGCGCGACGTGGTTAGTTTTTCTGGTCGAACGCACCTTTGCAAGCGAGCTTGTAAGTTGTGCCCTAAACCTAACCCCACTGTAAAACAAAAAAAAGTGGTGGTGGGGTTGGGGGGAGGGGCTGGATGTAGCGGTTCAAAAATTGCTTGGCCTTGTTCAAGCCCGTGCAAAACGGTGCTTAAGCCACCTTCGCTGCAATACACCAGTGTCCGAAGGAAAAGTGTAAAATGATTTGGATAGGGCTGTTATCGGTAGTCGCGGCACACAGCCCATTTTGTTCAATTACTCATGTGTGTGTGTACAGCATCATTGAGTACTAGTATGATAACCGACGTCTAATAAAGTTACTGGCAATCATTTGGAGCAGTGAATGACATTTCTGCCACCCTAAAATAAAAAATTGTGCGTCAGTTTAGTTTTTTTTTGTTCCACCACTACTCCTCGGTTTTACGAATCTCCCGAATTTCAAGATCGCCAGCTTGGCAGAGCCCTATTGAATTCGCAGAGTCTGTCAAAGAGCTCAACAGGCGCAGCAAATGCTAGTGTGGACTCCATCATTGTTTGCTCAGTGGGATGATTCAGAAGACTACTTTCATTGATATAGCTTTGCTTGTTCACCCTGCACAATTAAGGTGGGCTGAATGTTTTATACACACATTTTTCTTTACTAAATGCAAGCCTTCGTTTTTATAATGACACAAATTTGGTCTTTCATGATAAAAATTTGTTTTTTTCCTGTAACCAGCTCCAAATTTGGATTTTAGTGCTCGAAAATTAAGATTTTGCTGCTCCGAAAATTGCTCCAAATTTAATTTTGCCTGTTGCACCCCTGGTTCTAAAAAAGTAGAAACAATATTGAATAGTAGCAGGATTTGAAGTTCGGGAGAATACAAGTGGTAATCTGTAAACAAAAAAATATGTTTTTTAAAAGGTACTATACTTGGAGCATATAAGCCAGTATAACAATCTTTTGAAATTAAAAAATGATGAATCGATGTGAGAGTAACATGTTCATTTTACCTTCAAATGGGTCCTTGCTGCATTGTGGATTTCCTCTGCATAGGTGTTTTCACCGTTTAGCAGCCCTTTACTGCAGTGAAACTATCTTTACAGAAAGCTACTTGCGCATCGGTGTTTATTTAAATAAGTGCTTTCACGACTTAGCAGCCCGAAACTGCAGTGCAACCAATTTACAGGGGGTTACATGCAGAGTAATGTACATTTATTTGTTCATTTCAAGTACTTCGAATTTTTCTATAATTAAATTTGAATCGAGGTGAATTTAAACACTATAATATTCGTTCGAATATTCCAGGCATTTGTATGTTAGCCTAAGCTTATTGTATGCTGTTTGCTGTGCACTTCTCATGTTACTGGGTCTCTCCTATATCTATGCTTCTCCACAGTTAAAGATTACTTATAATGAAGTCTATTTTTGTCCCAATGACTGTTACACAAAAGTTTTAATGGGCCAGAAATTAGAATGGCATCATAAAGACGTAAGAAGCATACATACCCAATCATGATGTGCTTGCGTTTGTGCAGAAAGAGAGTGCTATCTTAAAATGCGTTCAATGAGTTTACTTATTTGCAGTTGGCTTATTTTTCTTTGCAGCATGCCTTGGTTGCCACTGTCCCTCCCGTGCCACGGGTCCCGAAGTCCTGCGTTGCCGTGCTTGTACAAGCAAGCAGCATCAATAGCACGTCTGCGGGACTGATGGTGCCAAACCTCGGAACCAACGTTGTCCATGGCAATACCCATACCACCACTGCCACAACAACGGCTGCCGCCACCAATGGCGTCTGTGGAACAGGTGCGACCACAACTGTGACGGTTACGGCTGCAACGCCTGCACCTGTGCCCACTGCGGCTGTGGCTCCTCCTCGCAAGAATGTGCCTCTGGGTCCCCCTCCTCCAAGTGCCCCTCCACCACCTAAGGAGGACCATCAGGTGAGTGTGCTTGCACGGCTTATACAATTCAACCTGGATGATTTTTGATACTGATATGGTCTTTGCACTGCCGTAAGCCATGCATTAGCAGGATAGCAACAGTGGCTACGCACTACATTGTGATGAGTGCTGTGCCTGCATTAAGTGAGTGCCTCGGAAAAGTGAGCAACACTAAAAGTTAGAAGACAAGCATTGCACGCGAAAGAGAAAACGCAGCAATGAAGACGACGATGAACGTAGGCACGAAAGTGCTACGTCAACAACAGAAAAGCAGAGTGCCCCAATCAGCAGTTACCATGGAGGTCCGAGATGCCAATTACTTGTTGACCCAACAACCAAGCAAGCTCCCAGGGAAGGTGGAAGAGTTTACCAGGGGAGTGGAGTGCCATGGAGTTCGCAAGGTGGTGTTCGTTGGGGTGGAAGCAGGGTGGCGGCAGTTCGGCAGCGTCACGGTCGTGGTTTGCCCCGAGCACCTGGCAGAGGTCAAGAGTCGGAGTGGGCTGTTTCGCTTGACCTCGGGCTTCAATGGTCCTCGGAGCCAGCGGGAAGATACCACAGCCTCCAGATCCATTGTCGGACGTAGGCCTGAGGGCTTGGCTGTGGTCCCTGGTTCGCGCGTCTGAGAAGAAAATTGCATGACTTCGTCTGTCCTGTCTTTGGCACCTACCTGCTCTGTCGTGCATACATATGAGTGTCGCCTTGCTTTTCCCCGAGTTCCTCCTCTGACAGCTTCCCCATGCTCGTATCGGCTCACCGTAGATGTCCCTGACACCTTTGTAGTAATACTCACTGGTGAGACTGTTTTGGTTACATTTGGACTAGACTTGTTTTTGTGTCTATAGGTTGTAAAATGTGTTGGTACTATTAGTGCGTGTTGTGTGTCTTATGTTTGTGTGTTGTTTTGATAAAGTGAGGGAAACAAAAAACATCCCCACCATTTTTATTGAAAGCGTTGCTGTCCCCGACGCAACATGCACTTATCTGTCCATTTATTCTGAGGAACCACACTACATACATGTTGCTCCTTATATCTAGAGATGTTTTTGGGTGTTAAATAGAGCTGCTCTCAGAACAAACGGACACAATGCACGCTGTAGTGCGACAAACAGAGAGACATTTATTAACAGCTTTTACATGATGGAGAGCATCATCAGTCTAACAAATGACTGAAATAACATTAAATGCATAGAGAACTCAACTCATGCAGACATAACATGAAAGTCCAGAACAACAGGCCGTTATAAGTGCGTTTAATAAACGTATCTGTGTATGTTGCCTGGTGGTGTGACTGTGTCTCCGAGTTCTGAGAGCAGCTACCTCACGAGATTTCCAAGTTCTGTGTGGGGAAGTGCAAATGCGTATCCGGTCTTTTACTTGTGAGTAACCGTCTCTTGGGTATCCACATGTGGATGAACATGTAGGAGGATGGGGAGGTGGCCAATGCAGCCCTTTTGGTAAATTCTTGGACAGAGCACCTGTTGTCATGATTTTTTTTTTTTGTGTGTGTGTCAGAGTGCCCTGGACTCTGGACATTTTCGTGGTGGTTGTCCCTGCTTGAAATACTTTTGTACTAAATTGTGAAACCAGACTTTGTTTTTGTCTGAGGACTGCATGACGATCAAGGCAGGGCTGTATCAGCTAAGCTTTTCACTAATATTTTGTTTTTACAAAAACATGTTTCATGAATTCTGCTTGTATTCTGTACTATGAGGCTTAACCTCCGCCAATTGCCCCTGCAAGAGGCCCATGGCACTAGGAGACTTGGACGAAAGTCTAATTGGCATCTCTTGACATCATGAGGTGTCTCGTGCCCTCATGTTGTAATAATTTGCAGCTGTAGCGCAATGCAGCATCATGTGACTGGTAGGCTGTGGACTTATGTTCACAGAAGCTGGAACTGCTTGGTGCCTTGGGCCTGATGACCCGGGAGGCTCTGCGCGAGCTCCAGCATCGTCGGGGAGAGCGCAAGCGGCGCACCACTGCCAACCCCCACTTTTCTAGCGCTGCTCTGGAGGAGAAGCGGCGCAATGCACTGCTCCTGATTGGCGAGAACATGGCCTCCGGCAGGAAATGTCAAAAGGGTAAGCACCTAGTACTTCTGTGTTCTGCTACATACGGTATTTTTTTACAATGAAGCTCATGGTGTGGCTAGCTGAAGTTGAAAGAAACTTGCAGGATGCTGAAACTTGTGGGGTTTCGCCATGAGGCACCACACTCTCGGATCAAACGGACTTAACAGATATGGTCAGACCAAAGCAAACTGCACAGTTATTCCATTACCTTTAGATCGACAATATCATCAACCGAATTAAAGTACATCAATTGTGATCAACATGCTAAGACAACCTTACACAATATTTCACAACACTCCGCAACATAACGAAAGAATGCACACAAGGTGGTATCGCCAACGCTCGACTCGCCACGAGGGCCTACGGCAGATGACCTGCATTGCCGTCCACCGTGGACCCGTCGCAAGAGACGACCGCTCGCTCCAGCCGCCACACACGAAAGCGGACCGCTCATCTCTCATGTGCCGCCGCCCAGGCTTGCCGCCAGGTGTCACTGACGGTGCTACCGTGCTAACCATGATGATGGTGGTAGTGATAAACGCTTGCGAGCACAACGCCGCCTACCGCTCGATAGTTGTGAACTTGAAATGCGGCTTATGCACGAAACATGTGTGCTGTGAGGTGTAAACGACTTTACAGAAGGTGGTAGCACCCCCACAAAATTCACTGAGAAGAGTAGACAGCGATAGCATAATTATGCCTTGTTATCTATGCCTTCTGAATCGCTAGTCCGGCATGTCAGTGGACGCATCAATCGTGCCTTGAGGAAAGGAACGTTTGTGTGCGTAACATTGGCCATTTAAAAGTATCCTTGAATACCTATTGCAAGTACAGTTGCAAAGTGCCCGCTAAATCCTAATTCTTCCTTTTGGGAATTGGCAAAGTTGCCACTATTCATAAGGCATCACGTGCATCCATGCATTTGTGTGCTTTGTAAATGCTGTTGTCAATAGCAAAAATTTATGATCTCTAAGTGTTTTGGGATAGGCAGACCTTTGAGGGGGCATGCGGCTTAGGGATCGCGAAAAATGCCCCGAAAATCAAGTTTTCAGTTTCTGGAACCCTTTTTCTATCTGATTTTAAAATATCTACTCTGAAAACTGTGCGGAAGTGCTTCAAAAGATTTGTTTTTTCTTTGTAGGTGGCAAAAATTATTCTAGAAATCGCGGGAGAAACAACGATTTTCAAAAATTATAGCTTCGCCATGGCGCGGCCAGGAGCCAGATTCTTGGTCTCATCGGAAAGAGCATTTCTCCTTGCTCCAATTTCTCACATCAGCTGGCTTCTCCATTCAGAAAGAACCAGGCAAAAATCAAATACTGGAGGGACGTTAGGAGGTCTCCAATTGGCTGCCTCCGCTATGTTGCCGCAGCTCGCCTCGCCATTGGCCTAATGCTCGCTCCGGGTGTTCGTCTTCTGCTGCTTGTGCGTCATGAGGGTACGACTGTCGAAAATCGCTACTTCCTCAGGTGTTCACGGCTCGACGATCACTTAGAATATAATTACGTTTTAGTTAGAAGCTGTAAGCGGATGCTTGCTCAGATTACTATGGGGCGCCGCGCTCGTAGACCGCACGACACGCCATGGTTTTCAGGCTGAACTCCGCTGACGGTGAGACGAACCTCAAACTTTGCAGGCAAGAACAATGCACTAGTGCACTCGTGGCAATGTGCTTCTTCGCAAGCAACGGAGCACATCGTTCGCTGCCTCCTCGGAACTGCGATTGGGCCATTTACGCATCAGCGGCAGACCCCACAGTCAAGCTTGTCGACCCCTCCCCGTTCTCTCTACCAAGGACTGCTTGGAACAGCAGCTATAATAGCAATTCCGCACATCGGCACTAGAAAAAGCGATGCCAAGCGCAGTGTGTGCTGATTTTTCGTCATTATTGTAGTTACACATTTCGCGCATCATCACTGAACGCCGCCGACAAGCGCATCACGTTCCGGCTGCACTGTACCCATCGCTGGGCGTCATATAGAGTCATATGAAGTGCTGCCAATAAGCTCTAGTATAGCGATTTAGACGTGCTTGGAGCCGTGTTCGGTAATGCTGCGAGCATTTTTGAGTGTTCTGAAACAATAAAAGCCTGCTAAATTAGCATTTCTGCCGTAACCAGCCGTATTATGATGCGTTTCATGGATAGAGTGGCAAAAGAATGTGTATGAAGGTTGGGTATGAATTTTTATCTGCCCGACTTGCGTCATTAAATAAACCGTGAAAAAATTTCTATACCACCAGTTGCCTGCCCATAACTTCGATATTTGGAAAGAAGGCATAGGCTGTCATGGTGTGAGCCATTTTTTGATATAAACCTCTTTCTGTATAAAAATTGTTCAGTGACTATTTGTAACATAGAAGTACATAATTAGGCTAACTACAGCTAGAACACAAAGATGTGTAATCATTTCAGTATATGTTCTTATTTAATTACAAGTTATTTCTGTCTTGCCTGTCATATCACTCTTTTATACAGAGAACTTAGTTTGAAACCCATACTTGTTCTTTGTAGATCAAAACAGGAGGCCATGAAAAAAAAAAAAAAAGGAAACAGAAGCTACTGGGCAGAGGCCACATGTCCGAGAAGTCAAATATTACAAGACAAACCAAAGATAACATTTTTTATGTGTTTTAGAGACGTAAAGAGAAGGTGAAACTTTTAAGTGCAGTTTTCTCAGTACTGCACTTTTGGCATCATGTCAAGGGGGGACATGGCAATGAAAATTATCATTGTTGTTTATGAAGCCAAAGGTATGAAATATGGCATGCAGATGTCATATGTTGTGCTGATTAGAGATGTGCACGGGCTCCAAGTAGCCCGAACCTGACCCGGCCCGGCAGGGCTCGGGCTTCCTTGTTGAATTATTGGGCCGGGCTTGGGTGTGATGAAAAGCACGAATCAAGCCAAAAATATAGATGATGTGCCGGAATTCTCGTTCATATGTGTGCTTTTTTTTTTTTTTGGAGAGAAACCGGGATGAAGTTAGCGAGTACTTGTGTGCTGAATTACTAAACACGTGCTCCGAATCAGAACTTCTTGAGTTTTGGAAAAGGAAAGAAAAAAACTATCTGAAACTTGTCAAACTTGCAAGAAAGATTTTGGCTATTCCATGGTTACAAGCGCCAGCAGCGAGCACAAGTTCATTGCTGCAGGATACGTAATGCAGGAACAATGCACTAGATAAGAGCCCGAATCGATGGACCACCTTTTGTTTCTGCATGATAATTTGTGAATGGTTTTGCACTCAGTCTCGACTTTTATCAACAATTGAAAAAAAAAAAAAAAAGAAGCTACAGGGATGGACGGCATGCTTTTCTCTTAATGAATGCATTTTTATTTTTCTGTTGCCATGTGCTTTATTGCGTCGTTCGTCGAGTCGGGCGAGGTCGGGCCGGGCCTTGGGTATGAGACGCCGGGCTGTGCCTGGGCGGCCCGTCCTCTATACATCATCGGGGCGGGCCAGGGCCGCCTCTAGCAAGCATCGGGCCTGGGCCGTGCACATCTCTAGTGCTGCTATCATAGCTAAAATTGGTTTTGAAGTATCTAATATAACTTTTCAGTCACAATACTTGATAGACTCTCATTGTCATTCCAAAATTAATTTGTTAATTAGACACAAGTTTGTCAAATTTTTGCATAGAGATATTCACAAGGGTCAATTTCGTGCTGTAATGCTATTGGTTTATTTTTAATATTTAAATAAGCACACAAAAATGCTTTTGAAATGTCCCGGACATATCGTCTTACCAAAAACTTTTACAAAAAGCCAATTACAAAAGTCTGTATGATGTGCACACAAATATGGACAGCTTTGCGGCACTCGCCAGTGCCTCAGAATCTCGGTCCAAGAAACGGAATGGCTATCGCTTAATTTGTTGTGAAATGGCACAGGGATGACTGACAGCAACTGCTCAAAAAATGAAAGCTGAGAAATTAGAGCTAGAAGCTGATAAAACAGAACTCAGAAGGAAGCTGGCTTCATTTTTCATTGGAGAAATGCATGTTGTGGCTATCTTGAGCTCCAATCTGTTCTCTTTATGATGTGGCCAATATGGTGGCACTGTGCCAAGGGAAAGCTTCGAATTTCCATTTTGCTATGCTCAATTTTCACATAAGTTTTGACGAAGGCCCTCCAGTAGAATGCTTGTTTCTCAACTTCTGCTACTTATTTTGGTCTGAAATCACACTATGATGTAAAACATGGTCTGAGAATGACAGAAAAAAATTAATTTTTGAAAAACTGAACATTTTGACCAAATTTACAATTCTCGTCGCCACGTCCCCCCTTAAGCTCGTGGAGCAGATATCTTGGCAATCACTTCAGAGATTTTGATTCTGTTTATATTGTAATGCTTCTTTAACTCTGCTTCACGAGGTTGTGATCTTATTTTTTCATTTTACTCCTTCAAGAATTTTTCATAGGGCTTCTTGTTTGTAGTGAAAGTGGGCTCTTCCAACGTTAACGCAAGTTAACTTAACGCAAGATAACGTTAACTGTAAGTTGTAGTGTTGCGAAAAAAAATGATTTTGAAAATGCAGCCCCCTTCAGCATACATTTGGCTGTGGGTGCAGTAATTGCCAACTATTTATGTCATTTTATAAATAAAATCCTCCAGCCTCTCCATGAGGTTCAATGAAGGAATAATTTGTCTGTCATTAAGTTTTTGTGCTATCGCCTCGAAATTTCATGGAAGTTCTTCGAGGCTATTCTTAGTGTCTGTGCCAATTTTTATCAAGATCCAACCAGAAACAGGAAAGATCGTTCCCAAAAGCACGTCTTCTTTTAAGCCTTTAAACCACCTAGTCGTTGTGCAATTCTCATTTTCATGTAATGAGCTTTTTAAAAAACCCCTGAGAAGGTTTTGTCAATTTTGTACAAACACATCGGGCCAATAGACCAAGTTCTAAGGGTCATTTAAAGACTGATTTAAGCTCTCTGCATAAACTGTGTAATTAATCACGATGCTTTAAAGCCGTGAATCGCTGCAGATCACCTTGGCTCAGCCAAACGAATTTTCAAGCACCCATTCACAGTATGACATCCACTGGAAGCAGGATGTCACCCAGGCTGCTGATTTGATATGGTGTGGGATCGGTGTAAGTAAGAATGGCGAGTAGAGTGGTGACACATGTCGGAGCAGATATCAACCACTTCGCAATCTTCATCTCTGTTACTAGACGGCATGCATTGGGCTGCGTGCACTGTGCTATGGTCTCCAAGATCGCGCGCAACCTGTTAGTGTGCAATCTCAGAGGCCATGACTGGGCAAAGCTCAAACCGCCGAGTGTGCTCAAGTAGGCTCTGCGATTGCCAGCGATGCCAGCAAGTCTCATGAGTTGAGGAAGCAAGGCAGGGGCGAGAAGGAGGGTTTGATATAATTGTCCATAGCGGCCATGGTACGGGGCATGTCGCTAAGCTTGTGGTTCTAATGATTTGATGATGCTTTCACCTAAACGCTGGCAAAACTTTAAAGAACAAAATCAGGGTTCCTTTACTGCTGTCATGCAAAAAGCACAGTTCATAGGCATGCACATTGAGTCGCAAATAAGTTGGGTGGCTTGGGAGCCAGGTGGAGTTTGGGAAGTTTTCTAAATTTTGTTATTTTGCAAGCAGCACACAGAAGCAAGCAGAATACCAATATCGAAAGTGATATGTACAGTTGTGTTAGGTATGAATATATAAGAAAGTGCTTGGCTTTAGTTCCAGTGCATAGTGTTGCAATTTCAGTAAAATATGTAAACTTAAATCTATGTTTCAGTGGAAGTAATTCATCTGGTAGCTTTTTGTTCTCATTTTTATTATATTAGGGGTGCCAAAAGTAGCAACAGATTCACTTGCGCGCTGTCAGGCTATGGTGGCCCCTAATGTAGTACCCTGCGCACGTCTACTGTTCAAGCTCCAGAAAAACCAGCACTGTTTTGTTTGAAATGTTTACTTTCATTTCATTAATCATATACTCTGAAGGTTCATTCAAGATTACATAGGAAGAAGCGACTTACTAAAGTGAAGTGGCAAATCGTGATCGAAGCCCGCTCTTGGGGGAATTCGAAACTGGAATCAAAGGTGGAAATTTCGAGGGAGGAATATCGAAAAAGGATGTGTTTTGAAAAACGCTGAAGAGGTATTAGCATATCGAGAAGGTTTTGGCAGTGTCATGGGCAAATGGCATGGGCAGGCACGATTACGCGGGTGCTAAGCACAAGGTATTCAACGTTAATTGTGGTAGCATACTGCACATGAGCTCCCATGTAAAGTTTTAAGGATTACTGGTTGTTATGAATGGGGTCCTTATGTGGGGAAGAGAAGCAGCACGTGTGCTGTCCACTGTTGATGCAAGGGAAAGTTTGTTAAAAGGAGCGAGAAGAATGAGTGCAGCCATATGAGTGCAATCTTCCTGCACAACAAGTGCTTGAGGTCATTAGAATGTCTTGTAAGGCCAGTTGGTACATTTTTGTGTCATGGAATGTCAGGAGACTATAAGGAGCAAGAAAAACATCGAGCAACAGATCGGCAAAGTAACGGGAACAGTGCTGGCTTGTTGAGAATGATGCCCCTCGAGACTACAATCTGAGGGATGCCTAACAACAGTGGACATCACTTCAAAGTGGTAACACTTACTACTCGCTGTTTTTGTGGCGAAATCGTAGCTTCCCTCTTAATGGCAACATTGAGAGGTCGCTTATGCACTCTTCAGGAAGAAGAGTGTCCATAATTGAGCACACACTACAAGATGAGATCATGCTTCTTGTTGACTTTCTGTGGCTACAAATGACTACGTATGCAGCCGAGCATATGTGCAGATCTGCTCTGTGTGTTAGAGGTCAACTGCAGAGGGTGACAGGCTGAGTCGAAATAACTGGTGGCTCTTGTGTGCTTTCTTTCCACTTGCCTGATGTCACAGGTTGCCTAAGTCATGTTTGGAGAGGTAGCACGGTTGTAATCAGGAGAGGAGTAGTTGAATGAAACATATGCTTTGGGACAGGCCTATAGAATCCCAGTGCTCCTCAATACTCCAGCACAGAAACAGCGAATAGTTATTAATCATTGGGGGGTTCTGTTTAATTTTTTCTCTGTGTGCTTGGCACCTTGGATGTTTAGTGTACAAGTGAATGTTTAATGAACTTTATATGGCCTTATATACCAAATTTAATTCAAGTAATTGCCTCATATCTTGCTATTGCTATTGAGGGTAGGCCTTTTGGATGAAACTGGTGCGCCTGTGTTTAGAAGCATTTGGAGTGAGACACTGCGCAATTTTGCGCTATCATTTTCATGATTGCCAATTGTATTTCTTTTCACAGCCTTTTACATGTGTAAAGTTCAAAAAAGAACAAGACAACATGTTCAAGATATTGTGCTGTCTATAACTGAAGTATTACAGGCTAGAATATAGACTTTGTTTGACACCTGTAGCGATACATTTACACTTTTATCCATTGTTATTCGATGTTGCTGTGTGTCTGCTGAAATTTTAGACAGTATTGCTTTAGAGTGTTTTCGGGAACTCATTTTGTGGCAAAATGACTAAAATTGAAATGTCCGCAAATTGCCTATTTTCTAGTGCGATCACGCCTTGGCTCATCCACACCTAGTTCACCAGAAGCATCTTCGAATGAGACCACGCCCAATGGCCACCCGTCTCCGCCCCCTGGTAGCGATGTCACCACAAAGGTACTTGGGACGTTGCTGCCTAGACTGTCGTTTCACCTCAATTATGAGCTTAGTTATGCTGTGTTTTGCAGCATCACTAACACTTTCTAAACCTGATAGGAACTCTGAAAAGGAAGATGATTTCACTCATATTATTAGCAAATTACTTTAATATGATGCAGAAATCACCACTCTAGCGGTGAGAAAATGCTTGATAAGCCCGAAAAAGTGATAAAACTGAAAAAAAGTGAACCAAAAGCACATTGTGGCTTCGTCGCTTTCTAATGTTCGTCTGCACTGTGTCCTTGTCCACAATATTTGGATTCGTCCGGTACATCAGCATGGTTAGCTTAGCCATTACTTTATGCAGCAAGCTTGGTAGCCCAGTTGTGATGTGTGCAGTCATGATGCCTGATGTTCCAAACTTAGTCATGCTCAATTGCGATTACAAAAAGTCATCTCGCAAACGTCTTCATCATTAGGTCTGAAGTGCTGATGAGTAGAACCTCGAAGTGCGGGTGCGCCCTGCCGCGGTAGTCTAGTGGCGAAGGTACTTGACTGCTGACCCGCAGATCACGGGATCGAATCGCGGTTGCGGCGGCTGCATTTCCGATGGAGGGGGAAAAGTTGTAGGCCTGTGTGCTTAAATTTGGGTGCACGTTTAAGAACCCCAGGTGGTCAAAATTTCTGGAGCCCTCCACTACGGCGTCTTTCATAATCACATGGTGGTTTTGGGACGTTAAACCATACAAGTCAATCAATCAATTGAAGTGCGGGTGCCGGGAATCATATGGAGCGCATCTGAGAAGCACGCATGCAATGTTCACGCCAAATGCAGCGCTCTACCGTAATTTGATATTAAGCCTCCACTAGTTAGTGCCAAACTAAGGTGTAATTATATTCTAAATTATCATGAGTTCGGGAGCACAGAATTAATGTGAACGCTTCACTAAGCGACGCGATTTTCGACAGTCAACCTCGCCTAACCTCGTGACCTCAGACCATGCTGTCCTGGAGCGATGGTCGGACCTGTGGGGAGCTGTGCTCTCGAAATGTTGTCTTAGTGCCACGAAATTGGTGTGATACAACAAAGAGTAGAAGAACAAGGAGTAGAAAGAGTAGACGGGATGTGCGAGAAGAAATAGAACCGCCGTCTTCTACAAAGTTTCAGCCGCTGCAAATTGCATAACTTCAGTGCCGAACTGAATATAGCTAGAATATCTCTATTTCTCAGCTAGCTGATCACAGAACAAAATTGTTCGGCAAAACCCAGATACAGTCGATCCCGGATATATCGAATTCGTAGGGGATTGTGAAATAGTTCAATATATCAATAATTTGAAATACAAAATATGCATTTTTAAGGCCTGAATCAAAGCACTTCAGGATTCTGATATTATTACAAGCGCTAACATAACGATTCGCTCACAGAAGAACATGGTGTAAACTGCAAGTTACTGCACTTTATTTTGCATGAAAATAGTCCATAAACCTGTCTTGCTTCTTGCGCATATTTCCAATGGGCGAAAGCGCCCGATAATTCGAACGCCCAAGCACTTCCGACGGTTAATTCGAACATACTGCGTTCCGAAAATGTTCTCAGCACCTCGCCCGATCCCGCGGTGGTACCTGCGACACCTCAACGCTGCCCGCAAAGGAAATGAAAAGGAAAGAAAAGGCTGGGGTGGAATGTTTGCTATCTCTCAAACGCCGATCTGCGACGCGCCCTTGTTACGATTCTCCCTTTTCCGCCTCTGCCAGGTAAAGACCCTCCTCCTTCCAGTGCCGCGCGTGAAGAGAGAGAGGGAAAAAAAGAAAGCTGTCGCTGGTTTGAATGAATGTGTGGATGAAGTAAAGAAAAAGGGCACTATCTTCTGCAACCCTTGCCCCTTGCAGGGGCACGGCTATGAGCCTTGAGACGGGGGGCTCTTACGCGCCGGTGCCACACTATCCCTTTCCCTTCCCTGCCACGTAATCCATCTCCTTTCAACGACTGGCGCGCAAAGAGAGAAAAAAAAAATTGGCCCCATATCTGCATGTAATCTGCAAGTGTCGTCGAAAGACAGTAGTCTTGCGTGTGGAGAGTGTGAACAATTTATTTGATGTTCTGCGCAAGAAAATCGGTGAATGGTATTTTGGAGGCGCTGCATAGTGTCTCGAGCGTGCAGTGGAGGCGAGCGAGCGCATCAAGTCACGTCACACGTGAGACATGAGCGCCATCTGGCAGTTTTTTGGAAAACAAAGTGCGTGGCTCTGAGATGGGTGTGCACACCCGTCTCAGAGGTGATATGGTGTAGAACGGAAAGCGACGGGTAGGTGCCATCACCATCACCAAAGGGTTGGAAACACTCACATTTTCGTGCAAGCGCTGCATGGTCAGCGCAGCGTGATAAGCGCTACAGTCCTTAAAATTACTTATGTATACCTTTTTCTAGTAAAAGATGCACATGTAGAATATATACATGTTGTTATGGTGCCCCAGAGTTGTGTAATAATTGCTTATTAATTGACAATTGCACAAGTATCAACGCTAAATCTTGAGCAACATTGGTGGGCGCTGCGGAGTGGGGTCGGCTGTTTCAAGTACCCGGTGCTGTTTAGAGTGGACAAACAGACAAATGTACAGACAGGCAGACCAAAATTTTTGCGTAGAAAGTCCCCAAGAAAGACTATCGTCTTTAAAAAAAGCTGCCATGGAGTGTTGGATTTCTCTCAAATGCCGGTCTGCTTCTCTCCGCGTGGAGACGCTCCTCATTTCTCATGTGCTGGCCATGCTGCGGCTGTGTAGCGGAGAGCGGGAGGCTCCACTACGCAAGTCGTTGTGTCGTCATCTTTAGAAAGTGCCGGCGCTGGGCATTTCCGCGCGCAACTTCTCTTGCCAGGAGAATGCTCAAGCTGAAGTAGAAATGCTTTGGAAGCTGCGTGCGAAATTGATTGACTCGCTGCAAGGCAAATGTGTGCATACGCGTACCACCGATTACTTCAATTATTAACGGATGTCCTGTAATTTGTGAATAAATGTAAGTCTTCTGAAACTTCCTTCTCGTGTGTTAGTTCAATGCACATGGGCCACTGCATGGAGAGCCCTCCATTTATTTAGCTTTCATTAATTTAAGCTTATTTTTATTCGGACAAATTTTTGGGCCCCTTTAGGTTCGAATTATTGAGATTCGAGTGTATTACTGAAGCTTTTCAAATAAGTAAATTCAGCTCTTTGGCCTCAACAGCGTTAATTCACGCAGAACACTGATGCAAGCTTTGTAGCGCTGCAAAAGGTCGGTTAGTGGCGGCTCCGATTGTGTTGGCATGTTCATAACTGCACAGGTACACTTTTGTGGCACCGGACACGGTAAGCATAATCGCAGCATCGATGCAGCCAGAAACAGCTACGCCGTCATCTGCACCGATAAGTCGCTCATTGTCCGAAATGGTGTCCGAAAATGCTGATAAGTAGCAGAATTCACCAAGGCACCGTACGCCAGCGGTCATGGCGCACCCGAAGTCGTCACCTGGCCGACAAAGAAAGTTTATGACGGTGCTTTACTTGACGTCACTCCAAGCACCAGTCATAATTTTTATCACTTCGTGTGGGTCAACCTTCGGTTCAACTCCCGAACGAGGATTTATCAAGAACGAGGCAAAAAAGTACACAAGTCTAGAAAGCGCAAAAGACAGCGTCAAGTTTCCACAGTCGACATGTTGGCTATATCGATGGCACTTGTGCCTCTGTAGCTGACAGCCGCTGCTTTCAGCTGCTTTGATGCGAAAAGCTAGAGAAAGCGTCGCTTTCGTTCTAAAACCAAAAAAATAAAAATTACGCCACAGAGTTGCATTTCTCCAAAGCCATATCTTTCAGGCTCGTGTTTCATTGTGTGCCAACAAACAAGGAAGGGAATGCGAATATTGTGACGAGATCGCAGAGTCTCTTCGCATTCTCATTTTGGTGTCCTCAGCAGTTGATCCTCTTGAAAAACACTATGCCCACATGCTAAGACCTGAAGATCTTGCACCAAACATACCAGTGCACTTGCAAGTGCCACGCAACGAACCAGATCAGCACGATGAAATAATACCGCTTTTTGGTCACCTGTGCACGCAAAGGGATAAGAACTTGCTAGAACGCGGCCGAAAATTGATGAATGTTTGCTAGAAAAAATGCACTTTCTTGGCTACGGCGCAGCGCAGCGTGCGTTATAGCGGATGTCCCGCTGTGCGAGAGTTCGATATACGGGTGCACCTTCTCTATAACTTTGCTTGAAAAATTCAAAGAGATTCTTCAACTGTTTAATGTAGCCAATAATTCGATGTATGTGAGTTTGATATATCCGGGATCGACTGTACTTCCACAGCTAGCTGCTTGTTACGTCACGGTTATCAAGTGCCCCCGTGTTGCTCGGCTCTCAGGCGGCTCGCCTGTTTATAAAAATATTTAATGAAAAATTAAGCACACGACCAAAGGCACAGTTCTTGCCAGATTATTTCTGAATGCACAAAGATTTACCTATGTAACACAGGTTATGATCAAAAATCGGGTGTGATTGGCCTTTTTATCACTTTTAACCCTTTAACCGCCAACCACGAGCTGTACTTGTCACACTAGTTTGTACCAACATTGCTATAGAAGAGTCACACTTGTCTGACCTGGCCCGATTTTCTGCTCGTAGCATGGTTGTACATTGCTCTGCCTGAAATCTTCAATCCTTGATGGAGGTAGTTGTCTATGAAAAAGAACGTTTTGTGCCTTTTGTGAATTTTTTAAGCCTCGAATTAGTCATTTCAGAAGGCTGCTTCTACTGGAGAATGCCTGAAGTGGCAATGCCTGAAGAAAAAAAAAAAAGAAAAAAAGAGGCAGTTCTCGAAGCAGTACAGAAAGCAGCGTTAGTGACGACATGGAATTTGTGTCCAACTGCTATTCGGGTATTGTCTTGACACTGGAGACTGCTTCAGATGACGACGACCGGGGACGACAATGCTTTGACGCTGTGCTTCGAAATCTACCGCACAAAGAGCAATCATTATTATTAATCGTGGAAGCTTTTATGCCGAAGCAATGTTCCTGCATTTTTCTGTATGTTATCATGTATTGTATCAAATAAATACTTTGACTTTCTGTATGTTCTGCACCATTACCACGGTATGATGTCGTATATATTCAGAATCATAATTGCATGGAAGAAATTATGACTGCTAAAAAAATTGTAATTTTGGTGCGTCTTTTGGCAGCTAAATTGGTAGTTAAAGTGTCAATTGCCTATAAAATGCATATCGGTCATTGAGAACTGTGCTTGTTTTGCAGGGAGTGCCTTCAGAATTGCATGCACATTTTAATGAGCTTTTGCTTCAGTTTTTTGAGGAGCACATTCAAGAATTCCGATATATTTTCCAACAGAGAGAAGAAGCACCAGTGCTTGTGAATGGAGACGTGTTGCAAGGCTGTAAGAAAAGTACTCCTGAAGATCAGGTCACAGATAACTCCTTGGGCTGGGTCAGTGACTACACCCTACTCAAAAGTGGTAAGACCACCTTTCTTCCTGTTGTGTGAGCCAGTACTTATCATGAGATTTTTACATTTACGATTAATTGTGTATGTTGGTTAATGCCTCCGCTTTCATGAATTCAGAGAAGTATAATTTCGCATGTGTCTCTGTTCACGCGTGTAGTTCATCCTCTTTATCAGCCGCAATAATGAGGGAAAAATTTAACCGCATATTTTTGGGCTTCACCCGATGCCCTGAAGACCTTTACTGAAGTCCTGAGGAACCCACATTCGGGGGGGGGGGGGGGGGCACTGAAGATGAGCCTGCAGAGCACCTATGACGAGACTGGCAGGCCTAGACCAACTGCAATACACTCGAACTCCTTTATAAGAGACACTCGTATAAGAGAAAAATGGGTATAAGAGACATCAGTGTGCCTAGAGTAAAATACGAGATGATAAAAAATGAATGCGTAGTACTCTCCTTATAAGATTTTAACGTTCAAGGAGTTGCTCCATCGAGGCTCAGCGGCTAATGCCTCACACTCATAATTCAGAAGGCGGACGTTCGATTCCGTGCGCTGGGGTCTTCTTCTGAATTATTTTTCTTTCTTGCGTTGTCATATATTTGATGTGTGGACATATACGGCGAATGATGACGATGGCGGCGGTGAAATACAGCCGAGAGTGTCCATATAATCGCTATTGCAGTAAAAAGAAATAAGGACTGAAGGATAAATGCTTGCAAAGATTAACAAAATAGCAATATCTAAGAATGCATAGGTGCGCATTGGCTCTGCTGTCTCTCTCTCCTTTTTTAACTTCATGGCCCACCAACAGCTTGCAGCGCTTTGGTGTTTGGCATTGTTGATTGTGACAACGTTCTGAACTCGATGTGCACGTTTATTTAACATGTTGAAAAGTTATTGGAGGTTCTTTTAGGGCCCATTAGGCCAAATTGACTTTGCTCTTCACTTAAACAAGATAACGCATTCAACAAGATAACGCTTCAGTTTGCTGCTCTCCTCTGGTCTCGTGCAGCCAAAGCAGAAGAAAAGCAGAAGCTGCTGAAGAGAAGTCTGGAACTGAAAGCCGAGCGCATGCAGCTAGAAGCAAAGAAACAGCAGCTGTCTGAGATCATCGTTGTAAGTTGTGTTGTCAGTGTGTTATGACATTATCTGCTCATTGCAAAATGATACTCATATGAGGGACACCATCTATCCTTGCAGCGATTTGAGTAATTGCAGCATCTTTACTATGCACTGAAATACAAAACTGAAATATAGGTCGACCTCCTTCTAACTTTGAATCTCTGAAAAACAAATTTTAAAAAATCGCAAAGTGTCGCGGCGCATCCTCACCTTGTAGTTAAGCGCCAGAAGGCCACAAAGTGCTGTTACTCAGACTTGTCGGAACTTGAGTCCGACGATGTGTGTTTCTCACTAGTCAAGTCCCAGAGTACATCATTTTTTATTCCATTCAAGTCGTTGCTGATTCAACATTTGCGCGAGGGCTTGCATGCTATCTCTTCCAGTAGAGATTTCCATGCTGATGACACCCAGCCACAAACCGTCCTAGGCAGCCAGCGGGGGTTTAGGGATTGTCGCCCAGCGTCCACTCATTGTAAAGCTCGCGCATACGATATTTGAAGGGTTTATTGAGCACTACATCCAGTGGCTGTAATATTGGTATTAGTCCCCCAGAGATGACGACAAGATCTATTTTACCATCCTACAGAGCTCCCTTTACATCAGCCGTGAGGCGGCCTCATAATGAGTTGAGCACCAACATGCTCGGTGGCTGAAAAAGCGCACCAGGTCGCCGATTTCACACGAGCCGGATCCACTCAAGCATGAGGGACTCATTCATAAGCCCTTTTTCATTTGCTCTCATGATAACATCCAGGGGAGCATCACTGCAAATCGCAAATGCTCGTGGGCCGTTGTCAAGAGCTTCACTTGCTTGGATTTTTTAGCAGTCACAGTCCAGTTCGAAGGCATATTGAACCAGATTGGAGTTTCGTTGACCTTGCCCATGTGTCCCATCATGCAGCAATGATGTCGACGAAGCCCAACGACGAAGCGCTGATACTCAATTAGCTCGTTATCGAAATCTCCGGGCAGTCTTTAGCACATGCCTCAGCGCAAAGCACTTTCGCTTCATAAATTGATGCACCCACGATGGCGAGCCCTTGAATTGAACCCTCGTGAGCTCAGAGTCAGTCGCGCGCTATTTCAATAGCTTTCACGCCGATGCACTCCGCTGTCACGGATAGCAACTTTACACGCAGCTCCCATTGGAGTCCATCCAGGAAATTAAGTTTTTTTTTAGTTGCTGCAGGCTATTGGCTTCTGCAGTATCGGGACACTTTTCTCCGATGTACCGAATTTCCTTTGTGCTGCCAGGTTTGCCGTGCGCTTCAGCGTACTCAATAACTCTTTTCTTAAAGCCTATCGTAAACTGCTATCGACTACCACTAATTTGTGAAGGAAGTAGAAAAAAAAAAACGTCACACTGACAAAGATAACTGAAGCAATGTGGCATTGCTAGTACACTGTACTGTAGGCCTTGCCTAGCCTTGCCCGATGGCAATGGCGGCTTTTGACTTCAGCTGCACATTAATGCGAGACTTGCACATTTTTTTCTGCCAATGACCGGCAAATAAGACGAGGGTCGACTTTTAATCGCGCTTTTTTGAAAAAAAAGATTGCCTATATTTTGGTATTTACAGTAGATTCTTCGTTGAGCGGGCAAGTGTGATTTTCTGTACAGCGAAAATGCTTCGATGCAAGCTCATGTAGTTCTTTCAAGACACTTGGAAATGCTGCTATATCGATGCTCTATCAATTGATTTATGTCAAAGGGCGCTCCCTCGTCTGCTTTATCGGGCACATGAGCGTTTAAACACTGGGAGTATTAGCCAGTGCGGGTCTGCCATGTATGGGCGGTAGACACATGTGGGGCTTTTACAAACGAAAGGTATTGCCAGTGCTAATTTAGTTACTGTCAGCAGCCTCGAATACCAAGGCGATGGACTGGACTAGTTGGTACATGTCAAAGGTTGGAGGTTTAAGTTTATTCAGTAGTGAGTACATGTATAGAATTCAGTCATGATAGTACAGAAAAAGGTCCCATAGTGCAAGCACTGTAGGGGGGGCCTTATTGTAATGTAAAAAAAAGAACATGACTAAAAAGCAAAAATTAAAAAAAATAAAAATACAAGAAACAGCAATGTAGTCAAAGTGTAAAGTTGAAAAATGGATTAAAAGCCAGCGGGAAACATGAAAACAGATCAGACTGGCAATGATTGCCTCGAGGAACACAAGGCGCTCATCTAGCAAGCCATCAGGCAGCGCAGATGCAATCCTGTGGTTGACAACGCTAGACTCTTAGGCTAGGGAAAGAAGAAGATTTCATGAAAAATTGCGTCAACTTATTCTGCCTCGACATCGGAATCGATGCTAGAACGATCTTCTTCAACCCCATGCAGTGGTGGTGTGCACACTCGCTGTGGCGAGAACTGATGCAGAACTGCGCGAGAACAGCGAGCGCTTCGGCGGCCTCCTACACGATGTGATGTCGCATTGGCTTATCTTGAATGTCATCATTGGAACAGTAATCCTCTTCAAGCATTTCCGATAATAGGGAGATTTAGAATTAACGTTCGCAGGTGTTGTGGGTGTTGCTTTAGCTGCGGGCGCCATACGAGTTTTTGAACAGCGTTTGCTCCCCTTAGGAAAACGTCTAGGGACTTTCGTCCCGACCGCAAACTCAAATGCGTGGAAGCTACACACAGCACTTCGCAGGCCACGATCGCCGTGATCGCCGCACGCTATTTCGGATTTTCTGCGGGCGAGCCGCAAATGCGAACGGCGGCTCACGTTATGATGCATGCGCAGTGGCCGCGACCGCACCGCAAGGGCTTTCGGTCCTCTATTATTCATCAGTCCGCAAACCAGCAATGGCCACACCATCATCAACGTGCACAAACGCAGCCGGAGAACATAACGATGGTTTCTATGTCAAAGCGCCAACTCGCCCAACAGTCAACTCTTTTGATGTACCCGAGTTTCATACGCTATGCACGAAGTCACAACGCAAAGAAACCAGCAGTGTAAATGTCGCGGGCAACTGGGGTGGCGGCGGCTTCCCAAACTGTCCCGTTGTTCACGCATGTGGCGCCATGTGTGGCACATTTTGCAGACACTGGATGCACCAGCGGCCCAAGTGCTTCCGCCGGGTCGTGACTAGTGCCACCTGGCCTCTTCCCTCCTCGTTTACTATCATCATGATTATATTCTGCTGCTGTTCGTTTCTGTTTCTCCAAAACTTCGGTTTCACCGACGATTACGGCGGTGGAGCCGGGACCCCATGCTTACAGTAATCGAAATCAGTTACTGAAAGCTTGGCGCGTGTCCGAGTTAACCGAATTTCGGAGTTAACGAGATCCGGATAAACAAGCTTTTGCTGTATTTGAGTCAGTGACATATCAGTGCAGCTGTCAGCTAAGGAGATGACCTTTCTGGACGCTGTGGTAACTCTGTTAAACAGATTTTGCTTTATACGACGCATAACTGCTTCACGCATGTGCAAGGTGCTTGCGGGCGGGCATAAGTTTTCGTTTGAAGCATGCTTTGATTAGTTGTAGCCATCCTGTGCCGTAATATTCTTCCTCTGTTTTCTTGTTTCCTGCTGGCTTTTTATCTATCATAACTTTTTCGTTGTTTTTTTTTCATAATCATTAATAGTCTGTTGTTTTTCTACAGAACCAGCAGAAACGACGCCTGGAGCTGAAGCTTGCCCTGCAAAATGTTCAGAACTCATTGGAGAAGTTTGAGCGTGTTGTGAAACTCTTTAAAGAGGCCTCTTGATGAGACCGGTGGTAGAGAAAGAGCGGGAGAGCTGCTGCATCCCTGTGAAGTTTCTTTCCTCATTTGGTGCGATTTGGAAGAAGAGATAGCCTCCTCTTGTAAGTCCCGCCCACTTAGCTGTACCAACCTCTCAGCCGACCCACTCAGGACTGCCTCCTGCGCCACCTGTTGAGTCTACACGGCAGGTGCCGCATGTCACTGTGCACGGGGAGACCTAACCCTCGCTGTTTGTGGTCGCGGATGGTTTGCCAATGGGAAAAAGGAGGCAGCGCTTCGCACTACAATTTCGGGCACTGTGCGGTGTTTGTGCGGGCATACGTGTATGCGATCGAGTGTGTGATGGAGCGAAGGAATGATGTAGATACCACGAATGGTGATGTGTTCATGTGTACTCCGTGATTTGGCTCTGATCGTGCGAGAAGAACTGCTAGCTTTCTAGTCATCTGTGCCGGGCACCGTTGTGGGCCGCGGGTTTTCAGATATTGCCATTCCACGGAGGTATCCAGCTGCGTCTGCCTGGATTTTTAAATGTGCTTTGAAGTGTACAAGAACAGTGCGGCTAATATAATGATTTTTGATTTCTGCATGCATGCTTCTACTTTTTTTATATTTTTATCACTTTACCTTTACATGGGGAGAGATCTTGCTATAGAGGGGTGCGTGTCTGTTTGGGGGAAAAAGTTGTTTTCTCACTAAAAATTATGCAACACTGTTTTTTTTTTCTGATACCTTTTTTTTTCTTATGATTTACAGTACTATTGGCAGAAATTAAAATTAAAATTTAGGCTAGGTTTAAAACCTAAACCTTAAAATATATAACAACATAATAAATCCTTTATGTTCCTAAGGGTGTCTCGGTTTTCTTTGTTTCGTTTTGTTTTCGCAAAATGTATCATTTTATGCTATGCTTGCAATGTTTTTGTTGTGCAGATCATGGTGTGAAATGTTTCATCAAAAGTTACCGGAGAAAGAGCATGTATGCATGCACCTATTCGCTACCATGCCAAAGCTTATTTATGTGTTGAAGGTTTCTGGAATGGAGTAATAACAGCTTATTGTTGACTTTATACCACCAGATAATCCGAGAACTGTTTTTAATGCACACCTGATAGACCGTTGGCATTGTAAGGTGCAGACATGAGCACGCCCACGCATATTCCTCCTACTTTGCAGAGTGTTGAGATTTAATATGCCATCACTGCTACTTGCCGAGGTATGTTTCACAATGTACAACAGCGGGACTTCGATATGTGCATATCTTGCCCTCTCTCATCATTGTAAAGTTGCAAAAGCTCAAGCCTATAGAAGGGGGGTGGGGCTGCAATCAGCATTGACAGTAATTGTTGTGTGTCTGTAACACGTTAACAGCTGTTGGCCACACGATAATTTTAGCAACTAATGAGCAACTCATGTTTATTATTTGCAGTGTTTTTGCATTTGATTGTTGGCTGTCTTAGCCATTTTGAACTGTTTACATGTCTGGGTTGATAAACAGTGAGTATACAAGTGAAGGCCTGACAACAGGGTCTTATTTTGGTTCTTATGAATGAATGTTTTGTCTATACTTTGCTGGTTTTTGAGGCCTGATTTGTCTTCATACTGTTCACAGTTCAAATATTGATCTTCCGTGAACTCCTTCATGCAGTCTGTGTGCGAACACAGAAATCTTGAGAGCTGATAGTTGTGTGAGATTCAGCATAATAATTAATGCATCGTCATTCAGGGTATGACAGTTGACACTGCGACCCCCACCCCCTCCGCTTGATTTTCATTGTCTGGTTTTTAGATTTTCTGATTGTGCTTTAGTGCTTGTCATTTTTTTTGTCAGTTTTAATTTATTTGAGAAAGTCGGTATTCACAGAGATTGATCTGAAGGCCAACAATGCTTGCCAGGTGGACTACTGTGTGCCAAATAAGGCTTGCATTTGACTTGTGCGACCACCTGACGCCTGCAACTTTTGATGCGATGAAAAATGCATGTTTTGGACCCTGCTCTAGTGTCATAGTGCTGCTATATTGAGACACATAGTGTTTTTACGATTTCTTTTCACAACTTTATATGAACACAAGATTGCTGGTAGGACCAAGAGGCAATGTTTACTGAATCTGTGTTTCATATCAGCAGCTAGTCATTGCCTATCAACTCTGCCCAGTGCTTTATCAAATATGTAGCTAGCCAATTGTAATATGCTTTTTTACTTAGCAGCATCTTGCAAATAATATGAAAAACCTTGGTCACAGTTCTGAAATGGATGGCTACTGTTTTTAACTTGGCTTGTTAAGCAGCGTTGGTGAAACTCATTTTCTTAGCAGAACATTTTAGAGAGCTTAGCCTGCCCGCCACACTAGCAACACAGCACCGCATTAGTTTAAACAGAACTGCTGCATGGAGCAGTACTATAATCTATCCAAGCCAGAGTACAGCGAAATGTTTTGCTCAGCAGACCAAATGTCCTTTTCCGAAATGGTGTGCTGATTACAGTATCATGAGTTTAGGGTGCAGTATTGGACAACACTTTCAGTGAATGATCTAGTATGTTAGCACATGGGCGAGACAGATTATTGATAACTGTCAGACTACAGGGTGCTGTTGTGCTGTATTAACTGAATGACAAGTAGGCTTTTAAGATTTGAATGAATGGGAACTATGCATTATGCTTGCCATTTCTTGAATTTGAGCATTGTGCTGCAGTTGTCATGCTTGCCACAACTTGTAAGCCAACTTTAAATTTATTGCATTGCTTGTTAAAAATATGAAAATAACCTAATCTTTCAAATCTAAGCAACTGCTTTCTTTTCAGGATTAAGGTGCTTCAGAAAATTGTGCAAGAATATTTTTTGTAATATAAGCCATTGCCATTTGTGAAGGAATCATAGAAAAGTCTTTAAAAAAAAATCTACATCTGCAGTTATGTTTGGCACAATGAAATGAATGCCAAATCCAAATTGTTCCCTTTGCTGACAGTGTAATATGGTTAATCGATTGATTAACGAGAGAGTCAATACTTTAGAGTTTTTTTTTCTAAATTTTTTTTTTAATAAGGCATTTCCTACCCAAATATAATATGACTCCATTTGAACCTAAGTAACTTTCTTAAATTTTGTCATCAGTAGTGATAAATGAAAAATGGTATAGTTCTAAAGAAAGAAGAAGTTGCATAATTTTGTTGTGCCTGTTGTCATATTTGACCACTTTCATGAATGCTGCATTTGCTGGGCAATACGTGGTTGCTGAAGGGGCAAGTTGATTTTCAATGGAGAAAGAAGTTGTAAAATCAAGAGACTGAAAACAAAGACGAATACGTGCATCGTTCAGGAGACCTGAAACATCTTTTCGCTGACTGTGCCTGCTAATGAAGTGTACCTCTTTGTGAGCATGTACCAAAAAAGTTCTTGAATGTTCTGTGTATTTTCAAAATGATGCCAACTCTCGCAAGCCCTGCTTCTTTTTTTGTTGGTTGAACTTGCCCAGCGGTGTTTCGCCGCATGGTTCTATCTGATATTTCAGATAGGCGCAGTAATAGTCTTGCCAGCTACTATTGGGTAGTGTGGCTGCCCTGTCAATAATGAGAATTCTTTTGCTCGCAGGATACATTGTTTGACTAAGGCATCAAAACACATCCAGGCACCAGTCATTGTGTATTTACGTATGCGAAATAATACAAAAGGTTCATGGACCTTAGGGAAGTCAAAGGACTCCTTGCCATTTGTTGAGTTAAACAAGGCTTTCTTGCTTTACTGGTGCATGCAGGTGTTCATGTTCTCATTGTGAAGTAACTTAGCTGGTTGATTATGTTCAAAAGGTGTTGCAGGAACCCTATGAGGCACCACCCGTTAGAGCTGAATTTCAGAGCTGAATTTTTCGCTTGTGTGTACCATCGGTCATTTTGAATTCTCTTTATTTGGCAGATTTGGTTGCAGTTTTTAAACCAAGGCTCATTAAGGTCCTGTGCTTCTATTCATATAAAGCAGAGAATGCTGCATAGGCTACGGAGCTTTCTCACCCGAACAATAATGCGTGAAACATGAAAAGAAAGGGGTATGGATAGTACAGCTACATGTGATACTAAATCTCATTTCCTTGCACTGCAAAATAGGTTGTAATTATTTTTTGGGAGGTGTTCTAGAGACTGTTCACCATCAAGTGAATGAAACAACATGCTAAAAATTATTCTTTAAGAATTATCACAAATCCGAAACCTATGCATTTCCAGAGTCCGTGTAAGGAGACTTTATAACAGCTGTATTGCTGCAGCTTCCCCAACATTGTGTGCCAAGTATGAAATACAACGGGATAGAACACTGATCACCAATGACAAGTTCTACTTGGACGAAACACTGAGAATTTGTTATGTATTTTCTGGCGGACTCGACTGCTTGGTTTCACAGTGTTCATTGAATTTTCTGTTACTTTTGTGTTTCGTTTGGACTACGCTACACAACTTCCTCGTTCAATTAGTCTCAGCTGCCTGTAATCACTGAAATCAGTGTGACCAAGAACACTTGTGCTTCTAGGCACATTTTCTCATCGTTGTTTTTGAATGAATAGGCAGGCAGAAATGTGGTCACTGCTGTCAGTGGGTGTTGAATGTGATGCTGCACAAAAGTGGACATGGTGTAAAAAGTAGTTGATTGAGAGCATAACTCTTCACTTTTTTGTGCACAAGTGTGCATGTTTAAATTAATGTTTAAAATGCCTTTGACAGGGTGAACGGATAAAGTCCATGCATTATTGTTTTGGCACGCACGTGTAGTACGAACAGTCTTTAACGCTGCTTTTGTGCGTTTTGGGCCTAGCTCTCTCGCAGTTTGTCTCTTCAGATACTGCATGCACCATCTGTTATGTCGAAAGGAGTCAGTCATTTCTCCACATAGACATATAGGAAGTGCATATGCATTTTGAACGTTCCAAAGGGCATTTTTCCTTTACTTTCACTGAGCTCCTATGTTTGGATGTGTGTGTGTGGGCTGAAGTCATATTTTAAATGTTAAACATTGATTTTTGACGAGCCTTTGTTAATGATAGTGGAATCCTTTTGAGGAACCCATTGACCTCAAACTTCACATGCTTATCTTCTAAAATGTGAATATACTGCACTTGATGCAAGTTTTTCATAGGAGGAGCCTGCCCACTTTGAGAACATATCATATTGTTGCGGGTTCGCGGCTATGCAGCTATGCGGGCGGTGCGAAGAAGAAGACGACGACGTTTTTGGGCTGTTCAAAAATACACAACGGCTGCCATCTTGACTGCTGGAGTACTTTTCTACTCTAAAGTAGTAAATACATTCGCAACATTTTGGTGGTGGCGCTGGGTACGACGCAAGACGGAACTTCGAAGCGGACGTGTTCTCGACTGCCCGACCATGGCAACAGAAACCAATTCTGCCGCTCCTGTTTCAGCCGCGACTCCGGCGCAGCCTGTACAGCCGGTCGTATTGACGCAACCGCGCGACCCTGGCAACTTCTGCGGCACCGACCATGTTGACGTTGACGACTGGATTCCGAAGTTCGAGCGGTTTGCAGCAGTGTACCGGTGGGACCCTACGATGATGCTCGCCAACGTTGGCTTCTATCTCTGCGGAACAGCTGGCGCGTGGTTCGAGGCTCATGAAGCGGACATAACCAGCTGGGATACTTGCAAACAGAAGCTTCGTGACCTGTTTGGTAAGGCCGTCGGACGCCAGCGGGCCGCTTCTAAAGAACTCTCTGGTCGGGCACAAACTACGACCGAATCATATGTCACCTACATCCTTGACGTTCTCGCCCTTTGCCATCGTGCCGACCCCAACATGTCCGAGGAAGACAAAGTAAGCCATTTACTTAAAGGCATTGCAGATGATGCTTTTAACATACTGGTTTCCAAAGACTGTTCCACCATTGATGACATCATCAAAGAGTGCCGCCGATTCGAAGAGCTGAAGAGTCGCCGGGTCGCCAAGAATTTCTTGCGTCTTCCGAACACGGCCGCTACGTCATCTTGCGAGGACCTTCAGCCGCCATGCAGTCAACCACATAACAACGAGAGTGTGGTTCGCATCGTTCGTAGAGAAATCGAGGCCGCGTCTCCGTCTTTTCTGACCCGCCCATCTGATGATCGACCAACGATCTCGTTGATCCAACAGGTCGTGAGAGAGGAACTGGCAAACGTTGGGCTGCAGCCTGTATGTTCGTTGACGGAACCTCGGGTCAGTACCATAGCGCCTTCTCCTGCACCAGAAAGATTCCGCCGCTATCGTGATCCTGCTCAGTGGAGGACACAGGACGACAAGCCTATATGTTTTCATTGTCATGGTGTAGGACACATCTCCCGCTACTGTCGTTTCCGCACGTATCCACCTCGGTCGTTTCCTGGCTATCGACGTGACGACAACCACCGGCCCCTGCAGTACAGCGCTCGTGACGATGGACCGTACAATGGCACTCCTGCGACGCCAGTCCGCCGGTCCAGCCGTTCGCCGTCCCCGCATGACCGTCGCTCCAGGTCACCTCAGCACCGTCGCTATTCGTCGCCCCACCCTAGTGGACGCCCTTCTTCGGAAAACTGAGCAATGCAGCTCCCGGAGGTGACGCTGCATTGGACTCCCGACCTGAAAACCCTCTGCTGACCTTGACTACGGACAAAACCTGCTTGATGTAGAAGTGGATGGCCTTCCTGTTACTGCCCTTATTGACACCGGCGCACATATTTCAATTCTGAGCTCTGACCTCCGTGCACGATTAAACAAGGTCCTTACGCCGCCAGAGTCCCTATTTGTACGTGTCGCTAGTGGAGCGACCCCGGCTGTGCTCGGAATGTGCACCGCGCGTGTGAGATTCGCCGACCGCCAGACGTCCGTTCTATTCCATGTTCTCGCTCACTGTCCACATGACGTCATCCTTGGACTCGATTTTTTGTCCGACCACTCCGCTGTAATTGACTGCTCAGCCGGCGTCGTGCAACTTGACTTGCCTGCGGCCACCGAAGAGTCGAAGATGGTACAGAACAAGCTTTCGTGCGCTGAGTTTGTTCGCCTCCCACCCCAAGCCCTAACTTGTGTCACAGTTGAACCATATCCCAGTGTTCCGGATGGGGATTACGTGGTCTTTCCCTCTCCTGGTGTTTTACTGGCCCGCAACGTTTCCTCCCCGTACACCATATTAACTGTCACAGCGAACAAGACGTGCCTTCCTCTTCTGAACTTCGGACTCAGCCCTCAAATCCTACCACAAGGCATTGTTCTCGCCACTCTTTCACCGTCACACGAGTGCCAGATCTCATCAGTGTCACGTGAACTGGCCACAGTCGCCTCGCCGAACCCGCATAGCACCGACGCAGCCAACTCTACACGGCTCAACAATGTAACTAAGATGATTGCCTCAGACCTGTTGCCGTCTCAGGTCAAAGACCTCACTGATCTTCTCACGAGCTATTCGGACATATTTGACTTTGACGGTAGGCCCATAGGTCAAACATCGCAAGTCAAACATCGCATTAATACCGGTGATGCAGCTCCAATTCACAGGCGTCCCTATCGAGTGTCACCATCAGAGCGCCAAGTTATCCAACAGGAGGTGAATAAGATGCTCACAAAAGGCATCATAGAGCCCTCATCGAGTCCGTGGGCGTCCCCTGTAGTCTTAGTTAAAAAGAAGGACAATACCTGGCGTTTCTGCGTGGACTATCGGCATTTAAACAAGGTCACCAAAAGGGATGTCTACCCGTTACCTCGTATTGATGATGCCCTGGACTGCCTTCATGGCGCAACCTATTTTTCTTCGATAGACTTACGCTCCGGTTACTGGCAGATCGCCGTGGACGACCTCGACCGGGAGAAGACCGCCTTTGTAACGCCCGACGGTCTCTACCAATTCAAGGTAATGCCGTTTGGCTTGTGCAATGCGCCGGCAACGTTCGAGCGGATGATGGACACGCTTTTGCGCAGCTTTAAATGGTCTATCTGCCTGTGTTATCTGGACGACGTGATTGTGTTTGCCCCAACCTTTAAGTCTCACCTCGAGCGCCTTTCCTCAATTCTTTCAGTATTTCGAGAGGCTGGGCTCCAACTTAATTCTTCCAAATGCCATTTTGGGCATCGCCAAGTTACTATTCTAGGGCATCTCGTTGACTCCTCCGGCATCCGCCCCGATCCCGACAAAGTCCGAGCTGTCCTGGATTTTCCTGTACCGACTTGTGTCAAGGACGTTCGAAGTTTTGTGGGCCTATGCTCATATTTCCGACGATTTGTCAGAAACTTCGCAGAGGTCGCACGCCCCCTCACTGATCTTTTGAAGAAAGATGTACCATTTGAGTGGGGTCCTGATCAAGGAACGGCCTTTTCCCAGCTCATAACACTTCTGACCACGCCACCGATTCTCGCCCACTTCGACCCGTCTGCTCCAACCGAGGTCCGCACTGATGCTAGTGGCTACGGTATTGGCGCGGTTTTAGCCCAGCGTCAATCCGGTCACGATCGAGTTCTTGCGTATGCCAGCCGGCTCCTTTCTCCTGCCGAACGCAATTACTCTATTACGGAACGCGAGTGCCTGGCGCTTGTATGGGCAGTTGGTAAATTCCGCCCCTATTTATATGGCCGGCCTTTCACAGTTACCACTGACCATCACGCTCTATGCTGGCTTTCAGCCCTCAAAGATCCAACGGGGCGCCTTGCTCGTTGGGCTCTGCGCCTCCAGGAATTCACATACACAGTGGTTTACAAGTCTGGCCGTTTACACCAAGACGCCGACTGCCTCTCCCGGTACCCCCGTTGACGCTCCAGATCTAGTAACCGACGACGCGTCCATCTGTATTTCCTCGCTCTCTGCTTTCGGCAACATGGGATGTGAGCAACGGCGTGACGCGTCCCTACGCGAGCTAATCGACCGCCTGAACACAGGCTGTACAGACAGTTCGCTTCGCATGTTCGTAGTCATAGACGGCATTTTATACCGCCGCAACATGCACCATGTGGGAAACGAACTACTACTCGTAATACCCACTCATTTGCACTCGACCGTACTTCAGCAACTACATGATGTACCAACGGCTGGCCACCTTGGTGTTGCCAGAACGTACGACCGTGTCCGCCGACGCTTTTTCTGGCCCGGCCTCTACCGTTCTGTACAACGTTATGTTAGGTCTTGTGAGTCGTGCCAACGCCGCAAAAGGCCAGCGGTACACCCCGCCGGCCTCCTTCAACCGATCGACGTACCTGCCGAGCCTTTCTATCGTGTCGGCCTCGACCTGCTGGGCCCTTTCCCTCTTTCTACCGACGGTAACAGGTGGGTCGCCGTCGCCATAGATTACTCGACCCGTTTCGCAATTACGAGACCTCTTCCAAGCAGCTGCGCTACAGATGTCGCCGACTTTTTGATTCAAGACGTCATCTTACATCATGGTGCTCCTCGTCAACTGGTCACCGATCGCGGTCGCTACTTTTTATCTAAGGTAATTGACGATCTACTTCGTTCTTGTGCAACCAAGCACAAGCTTACGACGGCCTACCATCCTCAAACAAACGGCCTCACAGAACGTCTGAACCGCACACTCACTGACATGCTCGCCATGTACGTGTCGACGGATCATCGTGACTGGGACATTGCGCTACCCTTTGTCACTTTCGCTTACAATAGCTCACGCCACGACACTGCTGGA